GCAGCTGTATCTCGTAGTCCGTCACTAGTGAGCGGTAGATAAGCCAGCCAATAGTGGTAGGTAATAGGGAACTTTAACAACGAAAAAGCAAGAACCTGCCGTCTGATTAATATGAAGAAGGAAATCTAGGTGGACGTTGAATGATATCATACCCTAGTCCGTTAAGCTCTTGAGTGGAAACGCAAATGAGAAACGACGAATGCAGCTTTCCAGGTTGAAGTGGCAATCGTGAAGTCGATCAAATGAGACCGTAGAAAAGAGATTGGAATGGAGATGTACTACGGAATAATAATAATAATACTATAACAGTTTCAATGAATTCTCCGTCATCTTATTACTTCGTCTGCCTTCAGATAAACACTAAAACTGGCTACGTGTAAAAGATTATCGTCGGACACTTAATACTTATATCAGTAGCCATGCTTTATACATATCAGCACAAATGAATTTATATTATCGCATGTTTTCTGTAACGTATAAGTCTAAGGCAATGGAAATATATAAAGAACCATAAATCTGCTGAGTGTGGGGTGGTGCAAATTTCATATATCTTCAGCAAACAGACTGTTGGACATGATTCGTATTTGGAATTAGTAGTGTTCTCTGAGCTGGTTGGTTTAATCGTGAAGCTCTCGTCGTCCTCCTGGACAACATCTTCAGCGTAAGTTTTAGCATAAAATGAACTGATTTAAATTCTATCATCCATGGAGAATTTCCAAATCATCCACCTGAGCTACAAATCTTCTGTTTTATTTCATGATTCATATTGTTTAGATGGTAACTTTAATTTTCACCTGGATAGTGACTAGCAGTCAGACACTAATCAATGTTATTCAACAACCACTTGCAGTTCAATACAGTCAGCACTTAGCTGGGGCTGGTTATTTTAGACAAGACCACCCGAACTTCAGTATGCGGAACGTGACTCGAACTCATGACGCACTAGAGATTAATTGACATGATGTTACTTGGTTGATGATGACTAACGGTGGGATCCAAATTGTGCTTTCTTCGTCCTATTTGGGACTCGTCGGTCCCAGAATCCGTATGGATCGAATGGTGCATGAACCTACTTCGGTCACCGACAGTTATGGGAACGTAGCTCTTGAAATTGCACCACTTCACTGCCTTGTGGATGAGACCTCGACAAAAGGGGCTTGGAGTGTGGCTCCTTGTTACAACCACCCGAGAGTCGGTTTGGGCGTCCGGCCTGTAGTATCCCAACCCTCGCACAAACTTCCAGATTTTCTGTGGTGCACCTCTTGCCGCCTATAATGTACGAAGTTTGGGTTTCAATATACTCAATATATTATTATTATTATCAATATTATTCAGCAGCTAAAAAATATGAACATGAAAAAGTCAGCTATTCAACCATCATCAAGATAATAAAATAGGGCGTAACATTCTCGACTGAAGCAAAAAAATGTATTCAACCATGAACTTATTGATCATAAATCAGATAACAAATATCCCTTACAGGAAAACTCCTAAGCCTCTATCACATCACTTACTTTAAATCTCATCTTAACCAAAGTTCATATTTCAAAAGTATTAAATTAATTCAATAGTATCACTATTTATGCAATCGATTTTAAAAATCGTAGCTATTCAGTCCGGAACATCGAGTGTACAATAAGTCAAACAGTATGACAAGGATGTTTACCTTCTATCTATCGATGTTAGTGAGCAATAGTGAGGTCAGGCTTCAGTCGAATGTTAGTTAAGGAGGGGAAGTCAATCGATGACGTTGTGAAGCTACATCGAATTAGATAGCTAGGACACTTCCTGCACATATACAAGGCCACCACCCACCTCAACGAGGAATGTAAGTTGATAGAGGATTAGGTTTGAAAAGCATTAGGGGTAGTTAGATCAGAACATCAACTCATCAATAAATGAAGTCTTTAATTGAGAACTACGTAGTAAGAAACCAGTGTCTAGCATCTAGTCTTTTATTTGGTGCAGACTGAATTCTATCAGTCAAGTTTGCGATGTGAACCTAAACAGCTAAGTGGTAATTTCACTGGGTGACACGGGTTTGCATCTCTGAGGGAACATGAGTTCCTTCAAGACTGCAGATATGCCTTGCTGACTGATGAGTGCCAACTAGCACGAAACCTAGGTCCAAGGAGTCCTACTGATTGCCTCCAATCATCTAATTACAATCCATGAAGTCTCAGACTGTTGGTTTGAGTCGCGTAGGGAGATGTAGACTGTCTAGTTGGGGCCCCTTGAAGTATTGAGATCTAATGGCTGGAGACTGTCGGTGATGAGATGGCTCTAAATTTTCCTGAATGGTGAAGATTTGTTCACTCTTTGTGATGTCTCCGTTCAATCAAGTCCTTGTGTTTTTCCAGGCCACTATTCTTTCTCCTATAAATTTCCGCTTATTACTGTCCTTCAGAATCTTTGTTTTCTCTCATCTGTCGACTGGTGGGTGCTACATGGAGTGTGGTAATCATAGAGACCAGTCAATCATAGGACATTCTTATGAACTATGATGGTTAGACTGAACTAAAACTATTTGTTTCTATAAGTATAACCTTCTATATATGACTGCTTTTCACCTAGCCTCCTATTTTTGCGTTATTACTATGTCAAGTCTTTATCATAGTTCTTATAAAGTATAACGAACTATCTATTCGTACTTACACCTTCACTTAGCGACTCCATGACACCTATGACTGACAAATTTCCATCAAAGAGGAAAACTAGACCACTATGATGATAATCACCGCATTCTGCTTATCGACTGTCAAGCATAATTCATTGATAATACTGAATATCTCTGTGATTTAAGGAGTGAGTGACATAACTGGGGATATTTTGAGCCCCCAAGTGTAACATAGGGCTACATGTTGGACTTTTGAACTTTCAGTAATGGGTGGGCTTTTTTTGCTGGGTGAGGTTGCTAGTCTTATGTTCAACCTTCCATCTTTACCAGGCTTACTACCTGTTAGGTAAGAACTGAGGGTGTGTTGGTCAGAAATCGAGCCACCGAACACATGCATAGTTGAAAAAGATTCTGTGTATTAATAAATACAAGATCTGTGTTAAGGACTTCGTGATAATCGACTGTTAACGTTTAACAGACTACTCTATCTATCTACCCATCCATCCACTTACCAGTCCGCTGTCGGCAGCTCTTATTTGTACCGACTCAAACGAATGACTCAAGCAAACGGACTTAATAACCCTGATCAACCAATCATATAAGCTAGTAGACAATACGTGTAATTTAAACAACCTGTTTTATAGATATCAATGCTAGTGTTAAAACATTGCTATACGGGGTAACTTTCTTGTTTGTGCCCCATCCAATAGACTGTATATCATGCTGTTTGGTGACCTATTCATTGTTCTATACTATGCATAAAGCTAAAAATGAAAGGGCATATCTTCTCGGACAGATTTTCTGTAAGGACAGCCTGGACGACAATAGCAGCTGCATTACTCTGTAAAGAGGCATTACACCTCCACAGCTACAAGCTTGCTATAAGCCTATTATGCCGACAGTACTCGAACAGTACCTCCTGATGGAATATACAAAATAATTCGTGTACTGCATCTATGTTTCCGAGATTTTATTATGTCTGTTCACCTGGTTCGCTATCGTTTAGAATAAGACACCACCCACCCACCCACCGGAGAACTTGAATTCATGCACTACTGTGCAAGATTCAGCACTGACTAGTCTACCTATCATATTTACATTAATTGATTTTATGAAATTTCATTACAATTCCATTAGACATCGAGTTTTATCAAAACTGGAACTAATGAATCAACCATATACGGTAAGAATTGAAGATGGACCAGACGTTCTAATGGCATCTTATTCCAGTAATATCCCATAGAGCAACCACAACGGGAAGTGACAAGTTGGCCGTGGGTCCAAAAATCACATAAGGGCGATCACATGAAAAGGAAACGTAAGCGTGTAGGCATAGCAGTCATGGATCCAGTGGAAAATAATGCCCAAAACCCTATGTTCCTTCCATTCAGAAAACAAAGCCTCAGGATGGTCCGGGGTGGGTGCCTTGCGCTGCAGGTTGGCCACCCCTCCGCACACCTCTTGAAATGCTCCCATATGACCAGGCGTCTTACATAGCCTCTCCTGAGGAAGTCCTACTCACTGCCTTCACGTGGCGGAGGTGTTTTTCACCAAAGTGAGAGGGCGAAAGCGGATGCCCAGCGTTCTTCACCGGGTTGACTTTCCATTGGATGACAGTCTAGGGGAGATGGCTAAACCCTGATTCCAAACCTCCAACGACTGGCGTATGAAGCTCACTGGAGCTCACCGGCAGACGTATGGACAAAGGCCTTGTTGGATGTCCTGGATGTCTGGCCCCATTCAAAAAGGCGTATGAACCGAACTCCGGTCACCGGCTGGCTGCCAATGGATAGTGGACTCCCTACTCCACTCCTACTGCCTTGTAGGCCACACTTGGTTGTGTGAAGGCTAGAGCTGCACTCTCAAACAAAAGGCCGAGCGATTCTGGGGACATCACTCGTACCAAATTCCCATGAAACTTCATGAACCCTCTTACAAACGACTCTCACCATGCTACGGCGTTCCCGTAGATCGCCGCGCCTGGGCAGCAATGATTCGAGATGTTCATGAAGCCGGCTCATCCTCCCGTAGGAGATAGCCGAAGTAAAGAAAGAAAGAAGATTCAGAAAGCAATAGAATGAATAACAACAATAATTTTTCAAAAAAAAATTCGTGGATATATAACAAAATTTCTCCTTCTTTTCTTTATTAAACATGTTATAAATTTACAAAAAAACAACAAACAATAAAAAAAAATAAAATAAGCTCTAAGCTAAGCTCAACAAACCACCATGTACAACAAACATGTACACATGAATATAAATACCATGGGGGAGGGGGTTATATAAGGCAATTTTAATTGGAAATATTGTAGAGAAAAGCCTATCTCAAAAGAGAGAATATAGATGAGACATAGGTGAGTGAGGTGACTCAATACACAAAAAACTTGCACATATATTCATTTATGTATAAATAATAATAATAGTAATAATAACCGTAATACTAAAATAATAATAATAATATTGATAAACACAAATCAGAAAAATTAACCTGACGTTATATAATAAACACACATTCTTCATTTGTATAGAAATAATAATAATAGTAATAATAATAATAATACTGTTGATTAGATAAGCATTAAAAGTTATGAAAGAGCGTGATATTTATTTAAGTGTGTAGGTTGTTTGGTTGATACGAATAATGAATATTGAACACCCATATTGATATATATATATATATATATATATATATATATGCATTTGTATGTATATACAGTATGATGACCAGTACAATAATAAAACAAGACAATTAATTCTGAAGGTGGAATGTGTTGAAATTGGTTAAGATGGCGAACAAGAAGAAGAAGACGAAGAAGAAAGTTGGCGAATTCTCACAACCCATCATTGCTAATACCATTATTATTATTATTATGATTGTTAGTGTTTATACCACTATTATTACTATTTTTAGTAGTAGTAGTAGTAGAGACAGTAGGACATCTTGACTCATTTCTTTCTGTTAGGCAATGATTATTATCATGATTGTTAGGTATATCACCATCAACGTCACCGACACCGACACCATTCACACCGTCTTCAGCATCGGAACAACAACCATAAGCAGAATATTCTGCAGAGGATCTAGAATAAGATTGACTAAAATATTGTTTTGAACCAACAAAAAAAAGACAAACAAAAATTAGGATGATCATGACGATAATGATAAAAAATGATGAGGGTTATTATGATGATGAAAGTAAGAGATGTGATGTGATGTGTTTACAAAATAAGGAAAAAATCACCACCAACAACAACAGTATCAGTGAGGACGCAAACACTCACATAGTGACACGATGGGATAGACAAAATAATAATAATAATAATAACACCGACAGTGGCAGCATATATTAACCCATCTACACACTTCATAAGATAAAATTTTAAAAAACAATATATATTAAAAATCACAAGGGGGTGGTGAAGTTATTTCCTATCCGGTCTCTGCCATCCCCTGTTTATGGCTATGGGAAATTGTCATTAAAATTGAAAGACTGGCTGCCTTTGACCATAGATTAATTATTTTCTTTGTTTGTTTCTTTATGCTCCAAGTGGAACATAAAACTTCAAGCTTGAAGTCTTCAAGTTTCAGCAGCAATGGTGTTGATTTTCTAAAGCGTGATAAGGGTGCTAGCCTCACGTCCAACCTTCCCTTGTTATCAAGCCTACTACTAGCTAAGCGAAAAAGTGAGTCAGCCGGGAATCAACCTCTGATTCCTGACCACAGCCGCTTAAATCATATCTTCCGTACTATTAGGTATATAATATGGGCAGTAATATCGACGTTATGTGTATAGATTTCGGTAAGGAGGGAAAGTCAACCAATGAGGTTATGAAGCTATATCGATTGAGATGACTAGGACACGTGTTGCACATACTCAGCTATCGCCGTCCTCAACGAGCAATGTTAGATGAAATAGGATTAGATTAGAAAAGAGTTGAGGGCCGACTGGTCAAACTGAAATCAGTTCATGAAGTATATAACAGCTGGTTTGAGTGAGTCACGTAGGGAAGTAGAGATTGACTGATTGGGGACTTTGAGATGTTCAGGACTAATAGTCGGAAAATACTGGTGACGATATAGTTCGAAATCGTCCTCACAGGCTCAGATGTATTCAGTCTGTGCCATCTTCTATACCTATTGAACTCTTTTTTTCAAAGTTATCACACTTTCTTCCGCCCACTTCTGTTCATTATAGATTCTTTGGAATTCATATGTAGAGAAGCTGAAGACATACCCATTCCAAAATCGAAATTGAGGAAATTTTTACTTTTATATACTAAGAATGTCCAATTCCAATTCGACGGGCGTCTATTCTGTCAAGTTGGTGGCGTCGCAGTGGGAAGCCCCTTGGGACCACTTTTTGCAGACTTATTCTTGTCAGGCCTAGAAGCCGGTAACTTTCAGCAACATACACAAGAAGCAGATGTATACCTACGACATGTTGATGATATCTTTATTGTATGTGGAAGCAGATCAAAAGCTGAAGACATGTTGATAAAATGCAACGCATGCCATCCGAATCTCAATTTCACAATAGAACAAGAGGAAAACGATACTATTAAATTCCTAGATGTTTTTCTAGCGAAAATGACTGATGGCACAGTCGAAAGATCTATATTTAGAAGGTCTTCATGGACAGGACAGCACATGCATTTCAAGAGTTTTGTTCCAATCCAGTATAAAAAGAACTTAGTCAGAACACTGTTCAATAGAGTACGGAAAATTTGTTCTGACAGTACAATTGAGCATGAAATAAAAGCTCTGAAGGATATTTTATCTAAGAATGGATATCCTAAGAAGTTCAATAATAAATATTTTAAAGAAATTAGCCTCTGCAAACTATCCAAACAGTTCCAGAGAAATCTGTCTATATCGGTTTGCCATTCAAAGGAGATGATGTACAGGAAGTATTATCATTATTATTAAGTTTGATCACGGATTGATATTAGTTAGAGGTCCACTGGAAACCATCAATAAGTACTGGAGAGCTGTCCCGTCCTAGTTTGGAACTCTTCAGTATATGCAACCATTGGATTTCGTATCCAGGACCTTTCGATTACAAGTCAAGCTAACTCATAGTTCATTCAGCCGCTGGCACTTAACTCAATGGCCAGTCCATGAATTCTAACCTCTACCAATTATTCGTGATCTTAGCGCGATCACTAGCCAATGTTATCTGTCCTCAATCCCGACAGGATGGACACCCAGTGGTCATGACTTCTCACCCTTAGGTTCAAACCCCAGTGGGTGCGTATTGTTGACGAGTCTGAAAACAGGATAAAACGGCTGTCCGTTACTCCCAGCTGGTTTTCAGCGGATCTTTAATATATATCAGTCTGTGTTCATACATGAAATAAATACACGATAACTTAAAGATGAAAAACAGTAAACTGTGTTTACCTACTTTTCGTAAACTGTTTACAGACTTTAAAACCATATTATAGGTCAACTGCAGTGTACATACAACCCATAGCAGGCACACACACAATTATTTGTTAGGAGAGAAATATTAGATAAAATATTATTAGAATTCGTTGTGTGTTAGCAACACAAAAAGAATGAAACAACTTAAAATGTTAGACAAACAAGGTCGTCAGTCGATAGATATGGTAGTGGAGCTGCACCAACAAAAATGGCGAGAGAAATGCTACACAAATATTGTGCTGAGTCGCTGCCTTGTACGACCTACAATGTCACCCAAAGTAGGATTATGTTGGGATTAAGTAAGGACTTGTTACAACAACAAAAATAACACCGATTTAAGAAGTCTGAAAGAGGTTAGTCTCAGTCACACACACACACACACAGACAAGTGAAGATTGTCTGAATGCAGTTCTCGAGGCTCAAATAAACAAACGAATTCTTGAAAATGACGTAGACGTATTCAGTAAATATTGTCTTTCAAACAATGAATATCTTCACCATTTCATAGGATAAAAAAAGACACTCTGATCTCGTTATTATTTTCTAAGTGTGACAACATGGACTAATACATAAAACTATGTACTACTGATTGGTTGAGATGAGTGGTTGCACACTACCCCTGATATCAACCAGCAGTACTTGCTAGCCACTGCCGGACGGCCGTTTCGTTTTTCTGGGGTCAAGCTCATGTACTAGGATTTAACTCAGCTCAGAGAGACGAATCGGATCAAATCCCCGACTTTTTAGCTAACCACTTGGTTGAAATGGTCATACCACAAATGAAAATCCCAATTTGTAATTAACACAGGTTGAATGGTGAGAGATTGCATCATGGACAAATACAGTGCTGTATAATTATAGTCTACAGTGATTATTTTACTTTGCATATCTATCTCCGAATATTGATTACCATTAATACGCCTAGCTGCACATACTGAAGATCAAGAGGCCAGTGGACTAGAAAGCATTAGCAACACGGTGAACTAGCAGTACAATGACATAGCTAAGAGTCTATCATCCAATAGATATCCAGAATGAGATGGAGGTGGATTGGACATACGATGAAGAAACCATTAACTGACGTCACACACGCTAGACACACTCTCCAGTGGAATCCGAATAGGAAATGACGACTGAGAGTCTGAGAGTGACATAGATGAGGAAAGCTTATAAGCAATCATGAAGCCTTCACTACTCTCAAGTCTGTTTGGAGGTCAACAACTCTCAGCATCAAAAATGAGATCCGGATTTTCAACTCCAATGTGAAGTCAGTGCTACTCACTATACGGATTAGAGACTTGCATTGCGCGTCATAAAGAGCATCTCAAACAAACTACAGACCTTAATTAACAGTTGTCTCCGCTCAATACTATTCAAGATCAGATGGATGGCCAGAAAAGATCAGCAACAGGGAGGGATCTCTGGGAGCGAACCAACACAGCAGGAACCGATTGTGAAACAAGTAAGCAGGAAGAAATGGAAGTGGATTGGCCATACTCTGAGAAATCAAACCATCAAGTGACATCACTAGACAAGCCATTGCTCGAGTGGAACCCGAAAGGAAAAAGGCGAGTTGGTCGTCAGTGTAAGGGTGATTTGGAGGAGGTCATGTGAAGAGGAGATGAAAGTATGTGGGCAGACTTGGAGCTAGGTGAAAACTTTAGGTGAGAACCGAACGCAATGGAGATGCACGACTGAAGCCCTATGTTCCTCTAGGAATTAAAGGAAACAATAATAAATTATTATAATAATTTCTAGACAGTCTATATTTGAAAGTTCTGCTTTCATAATCAAACTTAACAAAACCATGGCGAAAATTTACCGGACCACACCAAAAACAAAACAAAACCGCAAACAACCACTTACCTTAAAGTTGAACGTAATATCAAATCTTGAGATCCTTTCAATTTTCGTAGACCAATAACATCATCACCACCTGATGAATCATATAATCCAAGTTCATCACCATCAACATCAACATCATCGTCATCATCATCAGCATCACCAGCTAATTTCAAATGTTTCGCCTTATTAATGTAAGCTTCTAAATCTTGTATACGTCTTTGTAATGCATTCATTTCAGCTCGGGAACATGCAGCATCATCTAATGCTTTATGCACATCGAATTGAGCTTCTTCAACTCTTCTTTGTGCCATTGTTGCTTTTCGTGTTGCTTCACTCTCCTCTTGTTGGGCTAAACGAAGTTGCCGGGATAATTTACGATTTTGTTCACGTACACTAGCCTCAGATGAGATAAGTTTATCACGTTCATTAGTTAACTGTTCAATTGATTCTCTGGCACGATCAAGTGAATATTGGATACGTGTACGATTGGTGATTTCACTATCTAAACGTTGATCCAGTTCACGTATTCTAGTTTCTAAGCGTTCTAATTCACTCCGAGGAACCTATAATAATAATTATAAAGAATAAAACAAAAAAGGAAGGCTTGTCAACCAATCAATGGCCAATAGGTGCAGAGCGCACTCCCCCCCCCTCCCAAGCTGAAGAACTCCTAAACCACCTTGCTAAGTCAGTAAGCAAACCATTCAGCCATTGAGATTCAATCCAATGCCTCATGGATTTCAACTTCTGCCGATTTGTGATATACATAGCGCAACCATCAGCCAACGCCATAGGCGAGTAACTCATTTCTTGCCTGGTTTGTTAGGCACTATCACTATGGCTAGGAATTCTCACTAGAACTCCAGGTAACTTTCGTATATAGAGCCAATCTCTCCAGTGAGCCTCAGATTAATTATCGAGTGTTGGTTTGTGAGGATTTCATTTTTGTTATAGATTTCACAACACAAGATGACATCAGTTGGGATTCATGGACAATTGGATCAGGTCCCAGTGGCTGAGCACATCTACGAGCACATCTTGTGATCAGATGCCCTGAGTTCGAACCCCATCGCATGCGTACTGATGAGGAGTGCCAAGCTGGGATGAAATAGATGTCCAATACTCCTGGGTTTCCCTTTGGTTCTCTAAATGATGTCAACGCGTAATCATATCTATAATTAAATAATACTCTAGCATACAAGTCACTTTCACTAACTGATTAATTTAGAGAAATCAGTAACTGATGCGACTTCAATCATCAGGAACAGTATGAAACACAAACACGCACACACGGGAAAACGGGTGTGTAAGAGTTTGTCTTTTCAATAGGGTTTATTCCACAAAGCATATAGTGGTTTATTTGCTTACAAAATAAAGCAACTATTAAGTATTGCCATAATATCTAATAAGGTTACTATTGAAAATATCAACACAAGCTTGATACTCGAAGTGTTGAAGATTAAAATATCAATACAAACCAGTGTTTCTACGCACATATACACAAGCAGATATGGGAATCGACAGTAACCATTATTGAAGCTTTCTGGATTTTGGTCATTTACCTGAATGCTGGCATATCTCAAAACTTTCCTCTCTCTGTCTCTCTCTACTCGGAGTTCCAGCTACAGTAAAAGAGATATCGAGAAAAAATCAATTAAACCAAACAAGTGCACTGTAGAATGGTCATCTTCTTTTCCTGAAGTTCCTGAAATAGAAAGAGCCCATGGGGACAACTGCTTGAGGTCGGTCACAAACGACTTGTGTGGACTGATAGTTTTTTCCGTATTAGTAACTTAGCTGCAGCTACGGTCCACCGTAGCGTAATTCGGCATATATAATTTTTGGGGTCTACTTTTTCTAACGCCCATTTCCAGAGTGCAGAGGCAGCACAGTCGGCAATCTGGTCATGTGAGAGAAACACCTTAGTGCTGTCACGTTCCTGTTCCCCAGAAGTACCACTTTTCCCATACACACCCAGTATAATTTAAACATCTATTCTTTTAGTCCAATCGCTTTTACTATAGCAGCTATCGGTTGTCTGTCGATTAAAGCATATGAGCACTGCTCAACAATTCGCTCTGTCCCCCTTTATGGCTGTGAGACATGGCCACTGAAAGTGGGAGACATAAAAAGATTAGCTATCCTAGGTCATATGTGTCTCCATTCTGCCTCCCATGTTAGATGGTATAATATGGAAAATAATATTGAGGTTAGGCATCAGTCTAGTGCTAGGTAAGGAGGGAAAATCAATCGACGACATGTGATATACACAAGCCTAGTCATCAGTCTCCTCGACGGGCAATGTTAACTGACACAGGTTAGAAAACAGCTAGTGGTAGTCAAACCAAAACATGAAAATCACTCCATGAGATCTCTAACAGTTAATTTGAGCCACTTAGGAAGGTGTAAGCTGGCTTCTTGATTGGGGTCCTAGGGATCCTATAAACCAGTAACTGGAGGCACTTGATGAAATGGCATAAAATCGTTCTCCATGGCCCAGATACATTCACTCTCTTTGATATGACATATCCGAAAAAAACCCACTGTTTTCCACAGTGATTGTCACACCGTAAAGGAGGAAAAACTGTTGAAGCTGTAGGTACATAAACTTGGTATTACCATAATCTTTAATTCTTTATTTGCATATCATTTGCGAATTGGTGGAATAACCCCACATTCGATAGGTTTTTGGATTCTGCACAGTGTTTGCAACGTTTTCCCCACAATTCTCTTCTTCGATTGCTTTTTTTCTAGTGCCCAAAATATATTGTTACTTTCCTGAATTCATTTACTGATATATTAGTTATATCTGATTATAAGTAGCATTCACTACAATACTCCCAAATCTCTTTTTTTTCTCTTTTGTCTTCCTCTGTGTCCTACATGGAGTGTGGCATCTCGAACTACTACAATTCTGTGCAAAGTGTGATGTCGGAAACAGTCAGTAGGATAGTCATCAAACACACACAAGATGTCTGAGTCCTATTCCCAGTCGACGCACACCTACACTTCACCTGGCTCTGGTAGTCACTCCAGAAAAGAGAGGAGGTTGGGCAACCCCATCTAGTGAAAAAAGTACACCATCGCTACTGAAACTACAAAAAGTGAAACCCAAGAATGATCCAATTCGAAGTAAAAAAGAATGAAAACAAACCAATTAACTTACCTGATCTATACTAGTTGTATTAATTTCTAATTTTAGCTCATCTATTTGCGCTTGTAGTTTCTTTCTTTCTATAAGAAATGCATTAATTTCTTCCATTTGTGCTTGAATTGTCGCCTCATTCACAGTGATGTCAGCTAAAGCGACAGTCAGTTTATCACGAGTTTCTTTATGCGCATCTTCTTGATCAGCTAATTGATTTTCTAACTCATTAAGTTGACGTCTTAAACGAGACAGCTCTTCTTCAAACTGTAAGTAAGATTTTAAGGATAAAAAGATGAACAGTCAGCGTGAATGCGTTTACTTACAAGGCGATTAAAGAAACTGAATTGCTGATGAAATCTACCCTAGAATGAAGACACCTGCATAACTTGAAAATCTAATTATAAAATATTACCATTTTTATTATAGCTTGACTCCACATAGTATTTTTGATACAGGTATGAAATTTTCAACATGTGATATCGGTAGCCCGAATTTTGCAAACCGACCACTGAAAGCAAGTGTCCGTCGGCTGGGGATCGAACCCCGGACCATGTCCATGGTCGGCGAGCGTACTAACCGCTGTGCCACCAACGCACAGATATAATAGAGAAGCTATGTAGATCAGGCGGATGATTTTGATGTAGTTGTATTCTCTGAGCTAAATGGTTTACTTGCGAAGCCTCCATTCCGCAGAGCATTCTTCGATTTGAAGTGAGGTTTGAAATTTCTCCACGAGTTTACTAGAGATGTCTCCTGGTAATCTTGAATGTGACTGGTTGTTTTTATGTGCTTTCTCATTTTACACTTCGATTGGAAAGGAACTAGTAATAGAAACCAAGGAGGAATTACCCAGCAACGACAAACACCTCCCACAACACTCAAACATGCAACATTCAATTTGGATGGAATGTATAAACCTGTGTCTAATAACGTATTTTCAATTCAACCGACAAATATGTGAACAAATTAAAGGGAAACCTCTATGGGATCGCCCGTGTCAGGTCTGATTGAATAAACTGTGATGCAAAGACTTAAAAACATAATCCTACCATAGATCAAACCCAAAATATGTTATGTGGATGACACATTCGTGGTAATCAGAAGAAACTACATAGGCGAAACTCACGACTTAATAAACATCTTCAACGAAATCAAATTCACAAGAGAATAAGAATCTGAGGACAAATTCCATTTTTTTTAGACGTCTTAATCAAGAAAATTATAAACTCAAGTACACAGAAAATCAACTCACACAAACCGAACACCCAATTACAACAGCAACAACACAATAACACACAAAAACAGTTGCGTATAAACATTATTCAAGAGAGCCAGGAGTCATTTCAGAACTCCTACCTTGAGGGAATAGTTGAAGAAAAATATCTTGTGGACGTCTTACAAAAAAGTGAATATCCACGGAACTACACCAAAAGACATCTACCCACAACTCAACCAACCAAATCAAAGTTCCCTAAGGGGAACATAAAGAAAATCGTCTTATCATATATAAAGAACGTCTCAGAAATCACTGCAATACGCTTCAAACCTTTCGGAATTCATGTTGCACACAAGCCAACGCAATCATTTCACTCGGCTTTATATCGACCGAGAGAATATTAAAACCAACATCATCTACAAAATAAATTCCAGCGACTGTGAAAAACACTACATTGGCCAAAGTGGACACCCCCTTCATCTTTACATCGACGAACATAAAATGGCCGTCAAAAGACACAATATCCACTACCTGATAACACTGTAAACAACCACAGAAAGCAATTCGATTGGAATAACGTTCAAATATTAGATAGAGGAATACTCAGATTTCTAACACTAATGTCAAGTCGGTCAGTAATTCTAAATGGTTAAGATACTTGGTGTCCGTATCATCAAAAGGCTTTTACCAACAACTCCCTCCTCTAGATTCGTGTTGAAGATCAGATGGCTGAGTGATAAAGAACTCTGACAATAAGACTGTCAAGAACCTACTGCCCAACAAATATGTACGAGGAAACACAGATGCATCAGACATACACTGAGAAGGTCATTGAGTGACATCACACGCTAACTACACACCCTCGAGTGGAATCCGAGGGTGACATTGAAAAGGTTGTGTGTGGAGGGTATGAAAGCTTACGAACAGTATTCGAGTCAGATAAAGATTATTGCACAGAACCGGATGAAATGGAGATGTACTTTTGAAGCCCTATGTTCTACTCGGAACCCAAGGGAAAAATAATAGTAATAATAAATAATAGTCACTTGAACTGGTTAGCAAATATTACAAATATTGACGTAAATAGTTTCCAAATACTTATATATGAATCAGTAGTATGGGAATAACGTCGCGAAAAACCTCTTCTTAAATCTACTGGTTTCATATTGATATCAACATAAAATTGCACTATTATTATTCCTAGATCTCTTGATTATGTTCAAAGAGTGGTCAATAGTAGTGTTAACTGTCTGCAGCGCCCAACAAATAACGTTGCCTGGACTTTCATATTGAGAGTCCTGTGAACGAAATCCGTAAATTCAAGCTGCAAATATTAAATTTTTCACCTGAATAAATAACGACAGCACAAACGATTTTTTTAAAATAAAGAGTAATAAGTTAGGCTTATATTATATATACTAATGAAATACCCGTTTTTGAGTACGAAGTGCACTTGTCAATTGTTGTTGCGTCTCCTCCAGTTCGCTTTGTTGACGACGTTTCTGACGATTTGTTTTGTCGTTTGATTCATCTAATTCATCGATCTAATGAATGCAAATAATAATAATAATCAAGCTACCATCTAGCATAAAAGTATGAAGACAGATTAACAGAATGGATATTCCAGACTATCAGCCAGACATACACACATATGCAATTTTTTGCATTGAATTATATACTACTGATTGATTGAGATGAGTAGTTGTATACCACTTATATCATCAACCAATTATTCTATGAGCGCTAATGATTACTAACCAGTTTGCTCAAACTGAAATAGGCTGAAGTGGGGTTTTGAAACCCAGACCGACTGGTTGAAATAGTGGAGGGTCCAAACCAGTCAACCACAGAATGAATAGTTGTGGATCCGAACACAGAAGTCTGTGTGCATCTGTTGAACAGACGACCACAGTTTGAAACAGCACAAACACACAGACAGTTAACGGACAGTTTACATCACCCTACTTCCTCTGGTTCGCACAAACTGTCAAAACATCTCATGGACACTAATGTCAGGTTTTGGTTCGACTACTCTTTCTGTAACTAATTTATAACGTAATCCTACGTTAGTTAACATTCCTCATCGCGTACGGAGATGATTTAGAATGCGTGACATGTGTTCTAGCCATCCTAATCAATTCACTTATTCCCCCCCCCCACTACCTAGTACTCTATGTCTAATCTCAGTATAAGTCACTATATTACACCATTTAACACGAGAGACAGAAACCAAACATCTCTGGTTAGATACCGCAAGTCTTTTCATATCTGTCACACCTATAGAAAAGGACAGAGCGAACCACTGTACAGTACACGCATCCTTCGAGCGAAGGCTGAACATCACATCTACGCTAAAGACAAGGTAAGTTGGTGTCAAATTACCGATGAGCCTTTCGCATCCATACCGAGATTTCGTCAGCAATCAGTCAATCCACTATGGATGATGCAAATTCTCAAAATAAGTCAAGTATTCTGACTCGCCCTATCTTTAAACCAAAATTCGGTTCAGGCCAGTCCTGCGGCATCATCACCAACATCACCACACATTTGACAGAAGCGTGCCGCTTACCCACAACAATTGCCACTACTACTACTACTGTGGTGAGAGCTGGCTGCTAGCCAAATTGGTATACAGTAATTTACGTCAATGTTTACGTTCTCAAGATTGGTCGTGAGAAAATATGAACAAAGACTGATTCAAAACCGACCACAGCAGACCTTGCGTAGGCGGATACAGTTAACATACAGATGATCTGTTGCCTGGCCCTTGTCTTCTATTGTTACACTATTACTACGACTATTGTTAATTACATAACAAGGCATTCTCCGCTGGAGAAATTCACAGAAATGATTAAAATGCATAAAAAAACTTACCCGATCACGTAACTTTCTAATTTGTTCTTTATAATCATCACAATTAGAAGTTAACTGAACAATGATGACTTCTTTTTCAGCGAGAAGATTTTTCATTAATTTCAGCTCTTTTAACAACTTACGTTCTAAATAATAAAGAGAAAACAAAGCCGTATAAATTAAATAAGTCTGTACAAGGTATAGAAGAAGAAGAAACAAAAGTCGTTATGATTTCTATATAATGGCCTGTTTGCTAAATCGCATTAGCAGTTGCTACCTATTCACACACACACACACACACACACTGATCTACAACACTGTGGCTTGTAGGGGGAATGAGTTCATCAGAAAAATATTCTATATCGATGGGTCAGTGGCACAGTACTCGCCAACGAACCATGTGATCCGAGTCTCGATTCCCGGTCGACTTACTTCTAAAGCTCACTACTAAGTTTGTAGTAAGCCTAGTAAAGAGGGAAGGTTCAGTGTAAGGCTAGTTACCAAATCCTATAAAAATAAAACAACTGCTACTAAAACTTGAAAGCTTAAGCTTGCTATTCAAAATTGAATTAAGTACAGAGACTATTTCGAAGCTATGGTCTTTAGTCGCACGGCCTTATTCGTCATTCTGGTTACTATCTACATGCTTACCACTACACTACACTATTCTTACTGTTCCCTCGGATTTTGAGTGAAACATATCTCCACTTTGTCCTATTCTCTTTAGTCCTTTTATGCTTGCACCATGATTGCGCATCAGCTTCCATCTCCTCCTAATACGATCTCCTCCGTGTCACATTCGGAAATACGCCCAACTTGTCGTCTCTCACTCGAGCGCCATGGCCTGGAGAGTGATGCCTTTCAATGGTCTCCTCTGTGTATGTGTTTAATCCATTTCAGTTTCCCTCGGAATATTTGTTGAACACTAGGTTCTTGATTGGTTTGTTACAGTGCAGAGTTCCTTGTTGTTAATTCTTTCTTGTCGGCCATCTGATCTTCACTATGGAGCCATCGATGCGGGCAGCTATTGATAAAAGTTTATCACTTGCTGGAAATCCTTTGCGTGACTCGCTGGTCAAGTTTCTGACCCATATAGAAGAACTAATTCACAGATTTAACATTGGTATTGAAAATTCGAAACTTGTTGTTTATGTTGGGTGCAGGAGATTTCCAAAACTGATTTCAAATTGATGAAGGTGTACCTTGCCTTGCCGACCTCAAAACACTGACATCGTCATCCGTTCCGCCTGTAGGTGAAACCATGCTTCCTAGATAAGTGAAGAAAGTGACCTATTTCAAATTTATTCTATTGATGGTGATTGGTGCTTGTTTATTGTTGTTCTCGGCTGGTTATTTTCATCACCCCCTGTCTTCTCTATGTTCACTTGAAGTCCTATATTACCTATCTGCTTCTTCTGAGAACTCGTTGGTCCCAACCTGTAAGTCTTCAAGCTTATGTAACATCCGACATAAATCGTCCGCAAAGTCCAGATCTTCTACAGTCTTCTTATCATTTCAGCATATTCCTGTCTTGTCACTTCCCAAAGGGAGACGCATAGTCCAGTCCACCTGTGCTCATCACATTTACAAGATACTTCATTGGCTTTAACATAACTATATAAAAGTTAATCATCTAATACGCCATATATATATATATATATATATATATATATATATATAAACAATTTCCAAGCGTAAAGTCAAAAGTCAAAAATGTGATAACCAATCGCCTCAACTTACCCATATCATCATCATTAGAAGTAGTAGCATTTGCTAACTCTGTATTCAACACTGATATTTCCAGCTCCAACTGATGTTTCTCTCTAGTTAACCGAGCATTCTCTTGCTTTACGCCCTCTAACGTCTCTTCCAATTGTCTCATTTTAACTTGATTAGCACTACGCATCGCTTCATAATCTGTTTCATGTTCATCTTGTACACGAAGTAAATCAGCACGTAACTTTTCAATTGTTTTCTCCGCTTTCAACTGAGCGCCATGAGTAGTTTCCAGCTCTTTTTTTAAATCATCTAGTGCATTTTGTAAATCAGTAATTTGTAGTGTTAAAGAATGATTAGTTGATCGAAGTTTATTCACCAGGGTTAATAGGTCTTCTGGAGCATTCGGGTATAAAAGTGCATAGTCTGTTGTTGATGTTGGTTCACCATCGTTATCACCATCATCTTTCTCTTGAGTCTTCTTTACAGATTCTAATAATAATAAGTGTCGTTTTTCTGCTAGCTCCAACTTTGTACTGATCACCTATAAGTGGGAAACAAACCAAAAAAAAGAAAAGAAATTGACCAGTGTGATTAGAAACAAAATATAAAAGTCTAGAAAGCAATGAAATATAATTTAGTAAAATATTTTAGGTGTCGGTGGTATAGCGGTTAGGACGCTCGCCGACCATGCACATGGTCCGGGGTTCGATCCCCAGTCGACGCACTCCTTTACCTCGCTGAGCCAGAAATAATGCTGGTAAACAGGAAAGGTTGGGCATGAGGCTAGCAACCCTATCCTGTAAAATAAACACTGCTACAGAAACCTCAAGTCACTAGCTTGAAGCCCCATGTTCCACTGGGGGACGTGAAGGGAAAAAAACATATTTTAGGCATATAGGGATGAAATAGATAGCATAGCTGTCTTGCTCGTTGTCTGACAGAAACCCCTTACTGTTGCTGGCTTAAAGACAGGACAGAAGTAATTTAGACGCTGCTGTTGCTGTCTTACATCGTAATGCTGCCTCCTCCGTAGACAAAGAGACTGAATATGTTCGATGTGCATTCCTTGACTACACATCTGTACCCAAATGCCGTCTGTTAAAATAGGCTTTCCATGACAAAAACCTAGTCCTAGGCTGTTAACTGTTGGTGTTGTTATTTCTCTAACAAAGTGCAGTATACTGTATATAATGGTAAATGTCCCTCTGCCTTGCTTACTGTAGCTCGAGTACCTCAGGGTGCTTTTCTGTCTTTTTTTTTCTTTTTCCTTTCTTTTAACATGACTTACCACTTTCAGATGAAATCAAGTTCGTTGAATACGCCGATGATCTGACTGTCTCGTTGGCAGTTAAGTCCCTATCTGAGAGTTCTAAGTTTAATAGGTCCATGCCAGAAGGTCTTATGTTAAATCCGTCTAAATGTCAAACTATTAACTTCACCTTTGGGCATAAACGTGATCTACAAGATCTGTTCCTTTCCCGTGACACTTGCAACATAGAGGGCACTGAAATACCTTGGAATAGTTCTATCCTTTCACCTTTCTCAGACATTCCATATCTGGTCGATTTATATAAGAAAATCTCCCATCTAACCTACTAAATTAGGAAACTAAAACTATTTGGAATCACTCAACCAATGCCTCTTAAAATTTCTTAACTTGTGTATTTTGCCTACTGTAATTTACTGCTCTCCCCCTTCAGTCCTTCCTGGACTACTCAAAAAGGACTATGTCATACTGCGAAGGGTATTAAAAGTCGTCTGTAGGGCAAGTGCTGCACCACTGTAGTTGACAGACATCTGGACTCATGTGAGAGAAATGGTTCAAATGCATGTTGTCTGACTGTCAACAACCCCTCTATTCTCGACTCTCCCCTTGTACATCTCATCAGGTAGAACTAGAAGTCGTTTCAACAGATTGTGTGCTCACTCATACAACCAAGTACAGAAACTCAAAAAATACCATATTTGGCCCGCTTCCTGTGCGATAGAGGTCATGTTAAGCGCGAAACCTACGAGTTACTATGTTATTAGCAAAATAAATGGCTCTTTTATTCCCTTGTATTAGTAATCTACGATGACACTATTTCAATTAATTTATAATTTTAGCTACTAACATTAGTACCATTATTTTATGCTTGTACATTTTTGACTTTATTGTCACTGCAAATACCAAAAAAGTTGCTATTATCAATCCTGTGATATAATTTTTTTAAATTATTTTTGTTTTTGTTGATGTTAAGGTAATTACCTGCAATATTGTACCAAATGCTGAGAATTTCATACCGTAACTTAAGTACTGTTCTGGTATAAGGCAAATTATGATATTATAACTCCGTTGCCGATTTGTGATAACTAAACTGAACTGAATAAATCTGTTGTGTCTGTTAATTACTACAACGGTAATGCACTCGACTGGTACGCTAATACGTCGTCTATTTGTCCGTTGCACCCTCCGATTCACTGAGCCACGCAAATATCAAAAGACAAAAGATGCACTGTGTCTGTAAGACATTGTATTATATATGCCATACTACATAGTTTAAGAAACAACACATGATATTTATACATTTTCTTAACCATAATAAAGTAGGCTCACAACCGTGAGAATGGACTATTCTTACTGGTTAGAGATCTCCATCCTTATTGGGTGGTGATCAGACAAAGTACAGGGTGAGACAAAAGAAGATGAATTGATCTCACACACTAAATCACAATATACGTGAGAAATGATACATTAACATAGTAACTCCATCACAAGATAAACCACACGATTCGTGAGGAAGGATGATATACTATTTTATGCTGGGTCCTATCAAATTATTATCACACCCCATTCACCAAAAGTATCATTCCACCCTCAGACCCGCAACACTGCAATTATTGGTGAGTTTCGTCTAATTGTTACACACCAAATGATGATTTTTGTACGATGGGACCTGCAACAACATTCGTTTCAGCCAAGGTAGTCTATCGGATCATTGAGATAACCAAGTCTGACCACAATGTCAAGATTCATTTAATTGTTTACTGAACGAAATATTCCCATATTGAATCATCAGAAAAAGGCACAAACAGAGATGAAAATTTTCTTTTCGACGATTCATTTTCATGAGCTTGTGCAATCGTACAATTATATTTAACAAAGAAATCTTTAGACCAATCAGATACTGGTAAACTTTGGCCTTGGAAACATTGTATTACATAATGTAAGGTGTAAGAAGGAATGACTAATTGTAAGTTAGAAAGGAAACAGAAGTTGGCACGACGTAACAAGTGTGAGATAATAACTAATCAATAAGCTAGTGGAAAGGCTATAGTGTTTTTGTGTAAAATCTGTATGAAAAAGCAATGTTATTAATAAACAGTAATAGATTGGTAATAAAATGTGGGTGATGGAAATAATAATAAGTGAGCTTACATAATAAAGGAAAGAAGCAAAATTGTAGTAAGAACTTTACTCCGGCCACAGTAGGGTGGCGAATGAATGTATGTATCGCTTTTGAATGCAGAGGTCCGGTTTCAGATCTCGAACAGCTAATGATTCAGCTATGTACAGATGGCGTATCCGAAGTTCCTTTATACGATATTGAGGGACTATGTGTAACACTGTGAAGCATTCTCGTGGGGGTGCTGGATGTCCGGAGATGACAAGGTGTTCTTCTTTTCTCCTCTGGCTAACCAAGCCGGGCAGTGTTTACACTTATTACGTCATGCCAACTTCTGCCTCCTTTCTAACTTACAATTAGTCATCCCTTCTTACACCTTACATTGTGTAATACAATTTTTCAAGGACAAAGTTTACCAGTATCTGATTGGTCTAAAGATTTCTTTGTTAAATATAATTGTACGATTGTACAGCTCATTAAAATGAATCGTCGAAAAGAAAATTTTCATCGCTGTTTGTGCCTTTTCCTTATAATTGTTTACTATTTTGTTTTCTTAAACATATTTTTGCCCCACCCCTAACACATCTGCTAGCCTTCACCTTCATCGCCACGAGACGTATACACACACATCAATTCAACTAAAAATCATTAGTATATTACTGCATAGATGGCATGTTAACAAATACCTGGTTATCAAGTGTTGGTATGCAGGGTCTTTATTGGTCACAGATTTGATCGCGGGTTTACATCAGTTAGAGAACAGCTGGAAAGCCAGCAGGGTGTACTGGACAGCTGTTTCGTCCTAGTTCGGGACTCCTCAATACTACGTCCACAACCAGGGTTCGAACCCAGTATGTTTCACCCACAAGATGAGCTTGTAGAACATTCAGGCACTGGGAACCAATCTAATGGTCTATCAATTCCAATTGATGTCCATTCGTGGTCAGATCTGTAGCCAATCAAGTCCCTGCAAACCAACACTTGATAATTAATCTGATGCTCACTAGCGACTAGCTGCATATAGAATGATGCCTGGAGTCATAGTTATAATTTTTTACCAACGGAGGCCACCAAGTCACACAAGAGAACAGTTACTTGCCTATGGCACTGGCTGGCGGTTTAGCTAAGTATCGCAAGCTGGTGAGAGTTAGAATGGTCTACAGAATCGCCTTGTGACCTAAAGGTCTTGGATTCGACCCCTAGTGGTTAGTGCATACCGCTGAATAGTTACAAGGTGGTACGAAACATCTGTCCAGTACTCGCCGCTGGTTTCTCAACCATTCTAAAACTGATATTACCTCGTGTTCAAACCTGCAACCAATCGAATTCCTGCAAACCAACACTCAAATATTCCGCATGTATATATATATATATATTCATATTTATGCAATATCATACGAAATAACACTTCAAATATAAGAGAAAAAGACTGACATACACTCAAGTGCATATTATAATATGTACAGGGTATATTTTACCTTGACAAGTTGTTCAGCTTGTAGACGATTCTCTTCAGCCAATTCTAAATCAGCTCTAGCCCGATCACAATCCTGTTTATAACGTATATTCTCAGTTGTAAGCGATGACAATTGTGCAGTTAAATCATTTGATGAATTTTTCAAGTCTTCAATACTTTTCAATGCTTCAGTGTATAGACGTTTATATTGTGTTAGTTCATCTTCACTTTCTTTCAATTGTGCTTTCAATTTTGATGGTGACAATGTATTGTGATTAGAGTTTTCATTATTCGTCTAAAGGAGAAAAGCATTACAATGTGTAAAGCAGAATAATAATACATGGTTTGATAAAAAGGTGGTCGGCATTTTCTTGATAATATATGGATATGTATACAACCACGAATTTGATAAAAAGTTTCAAGAAAAGACACCTGGCGTCAGTGGTTTAGCCGTAAGATGCACGCCAACCACACTAATAGGTTCTCAGTGTAATCCTCGATCGACGAACTTCTAATCCCCGTTGAGCCGGTAACAAGACTATTAGAAAGGGGAAAGGTTAAGTGTGAGGCTGGTTAGCCCACCATATAAAAATAAAACCACTACTACTGAAACTTCAAAGATCCAGCCTGAAGCCCTATGTTCGACTCGGAACGCACAAGAGAATAAAAATAATAAGATATCCAAAGAAAGGAATTCTATTTTTATGTAATTGTGTTGCCTGAGCTGGATGGTTTATTTACAAAGCTTTCATTGCCCTACTAGGCAACATCCTAACTCAGCTCATACTTCAAAGGAATTGTATATAAAAACACTATTCAAGAGGGCCAGAACTCATCACAGTACTCCCACACTAAGGAAAAAATTCAAAAAAGATATCTCATGGAATTTTTCCCGAAAGAATGGATAGCCACGGAATTTCATCAAAAGACAAAAGACTCCCAAGCCAACCTATTTAATCAAAGGCCCAAAGGAAAACACGAAGAGAATCGCCCTACCATATATATATATATATATATATATATATATATATATATATATAAAGGACAACTAAGAAATCACTGCAAGACTCTTCGAACCTTTAGGAATTGACGTCGCACACAAACCAACAAAATCACTTCACTCACCTGGCTCTATGTTAATCAAAAGACTCAACAACGAAAGGAAGTAAAACCAACATCTACAAAATAAATTGTAACCAGTGTGAAAAACTCTACATAGACCATCGTCTTCGAATCCACGAACATAAGCTAGCCGTTAAAAGATATGACATCCACTCTCTCGCTCATATCACTCACTACATACAGACAACCACGGGACTCAATTCGACTGATACAACATTCAAATATTAGACAGAGGAAACAACAAGAATGCTAGAGAGTTTTTAGAAGGCTGCCTGGTATTCCAGTGAACCATCAGTCAACAGACACATCGACAAAGACTAAATTTACCAACCGATGAGAAGGAAATCTCACACACAAAGGGTCGAAGTTCAAGTCAAGGAAACAATCTGTTCCAATACAAGTAACCTAGAAGGTGTGAAAACACAGAAACAACCAATCACGCTCAAGGTCACCGAGAGAGATGATTAATAAGCTCGTGGAGAAATCTAAAAGCTCACTTCAACAAATTGAAGTATGCGCTGAAGATGTCGCCTAGTAGGGCGATGAAAGCTTTGCAAATAAACCATCCAGCTCAGAGAACACAACTACATCAAAATCACCCACCTGAGCTACAAATCTTCTTCATCATATCTAAAGAAATTCTATATTCTAAGTAGCTGGAAGTATCTATCCAGCACGTTAATGAGATATATTGCTATAGGATTTAGTTGGAAACGAATAACAGGCGGTTAAATACAGAGAAAAATCGACATGGATAAAGATGTGACGAAAGCTAGTCAGGATAGAAAGAGCAAGACGGACCTTCACCACTCTGAAATCGCTTTGGAAATCTTCTGCTGTCACTCAATTCTTCTACACATGGTTCAGAGAATAATTGGTGAACGCGCCACAAGAAGTATTTCTAACAGGCCACTGTAGACTTTCATCAACATCTGCCTTCACCGGCTTCACAGTGAAGGCCAGATAGCCGACCACTAAGGATAAGTAACACGGAACTCTGTCAGTGCCACGACCAAACCAAGAACCTATCACCCAACGACTATACCGAGGGAAATGGAGATGGATCAGACACATGTTGAAGAGACCGGTGAGTGACATCACACATCACACCACCACAAAGCCCTGAAGTTGAACCCGAGTTGGACATCAGTCCGAGAGGGACATGGAGAAGATAACAACTTATGGGACAGCTTGAAAGGACTTTAGAGAAATGGCGATGTGCCGTTGAAGCCTTATGTTTTCACTGAATACTTATAGGAATAATAATATGATAGATGATAGATGATAATAAACGAAAAAAAATTGGTGTCAATTCATGGACTGTTTGAGTGTTACATTGAGGCAGGTAGAAAATGTAGAATGCCTGGCTGCAATCCTCGACACACTATTACATTATGAGTGAAGCTTTCGATGACAGCATACTTTACTCTGACTATCGTTCAAGTTCTAATAAGATTTATTATTATTTATTATTATTATTATTTCCTTTAATTCCTAGAGGAACATAGGGCTCCAGCTGTGCGTCTCCGTTGCGTTCGGTTCTCTGCTAAAGCTATCACCTGGCTCCAAGTCTGCCCACATGCCTTCATCTCCTCTTCACATGACCTCCTCCAAGTCACCCTTGCACTGACGACCAACTCGCCGCTTCCCTTTCGGGTTCCACTCGAGCGATGGCCTGGCGTGTGAAGTCACTTGATAGTTTCCTAAGAGTATGGCCAATCCATCTCCATTTCTTCCTGCCTATTTGTTTCACAATCGGTTCCTGCCTGGTTGGTTCGCTCATTGCCAGAGATCCCTGTTGCTGATCTTTTCTGGCCGGCCATCTGATCTTGAGTATTGAGCGAAGACAACTGTTAATGAAGGTCTGTAGTTCGTTTGAGGTGCTCTTTATGACGCGCAATGTAAGTCTCTGATTCATATAGTAGCACTGACTGATTTCACATTGGAGTTGAAAATCCGGATCTTGTTTTTCATGCTGAGTGCTGTTGATCTCCACACAGACTTGAGACAAATGAAAGCTTGTCTTGCTTTCCCGATCCTCATCACTTCCGTCCGCCTGTAGTTGAAATGATGCTTCCCAGGTAGGCAAAGGAGATTGTTTCTTTCAGGTTCCTCCCATTTATGCTGATTGTTGTCTGTTGTTGTTGTTGTTGTCCAGGAATCTTCATCACCTCTGTTTTCTCTATGTTTACTTGGAGTCCTATCTTTGATGCTTAAGACTTCAGGTGAACAGTAAATAAATAAAATACTAATACTACTACTAATAATAATAAAACTCCTTAATTGTTAAATTCGATATGTATTCCCCGTTGACTGACTGAACCAAAATGTTCGGCCCCTCCTGACATATTTGCTTCTAGTACGAACGCTGCAATAATGTCCGAGAATTAACACGATATTAATTGGTGGATAGAGTCACCCCAGTGTTTGACGGTGCTCCCCCTCTCTCTAGTGAGATTCAAACCAGTAGAAATAACGTCACTCACTCACTAGAGTATTCAGATACACCAAGATAATTAGTAAGGAATAGAACTAAAGGTGCATCCTGGATTCCACTGTTAGCCAACATCCACTAAGGAAAATAACACTTTGGAATTTGATTCCCCAGTCGAAACACTCCTAATCTTCGCCTAACCAGTAGTGAACCTGGGAGGCTAGCAACTCCACTGCTACTGAAAACAAACATTCTGTCTAAAACAATGAAATTTTAAAAAAAATTAATAAGTAATCTTACCTGTTTTTCATTTTCATAATCAGATGAAAAAGATCCCATATTTTGAACTTTCTTTCGTTTATTCTCTTTGTCTGATAATTAGAAAAAAAACGGGAATAACAAATAAAATTTAATTTCAACCTTTCAATGTAGATTTCGTTATGGACCGATATCAGTCAGAGAAGGAGCACCTGATAGTTGTTTGATTCTAATTTACAACTCTTTATCAGTACATACCCATAAACCTACTAGAAATCGAACCCAGGAGCTTCAGGTTACGAGGCGATGATCCACAAATAATAAATTCTGTCAATTCGCACAGTTCATTAGTCATGTCAAGGTGAATCGGATAATCACCATTGAGGCGAAAACACACACGCCGGTGATAATAACAATGAACATCACAACGACTTTATTTAATTTACTTTGAATTTTCCTGTTGATTGGTTGGATCGAAGTATTCGATCGGCTTCTGTTGACTTGTCATCGCCATGTGCGGATGCTTCAACGATGTCTAAGGAATTACACCTTGAAGTAATCTGGTGGATGGTGACTAGCGGTGGAATCCATCATGCGCGTTTCGTCCACTGAATGTATCTGTATCCTCCAATGAATAATGGTGTTCCCAGTAACCACTGAATTGAATTAACATTAATAACTGACACCCGCTGCACAAGAGGTGACTCTCGTGGCCCATAATTTGAATACATATGTTTATGAGGAACACATTGTGCTCGAAACGTTTTCCAACTACCAATACTGCATCACTGTGTGTTGTAATATGCAACAAACTTATTTAATGTGGAATGATAATTTGTAATCGCTTTCAGCATAAATCTGGCTGTTTCTGTGCCAATGAATTCGACCTTACAACTGCAGAGTGTAGTTACGATCTATCGTAAGGTATTTGTCAGAGATCAAAGAAGTTTGTAAAGTCAACTGAACCTCAGCCGTTTCACTGTTAACGATGAATTTGTTCATTCGTGTGAACTACTGAAACACATGGTGGTTAACATAATTTTCAAGTGATGAGAACGTAGCGGTGCCGTTGTGTTGACATTGTTTTTTCATGTGGTTGTGTTCTCTGAGCTGGATAGTTAATTTGCGAAGCTTTCATCACCCTGCAAGGTGACATCTTCAGCGCATACTTCAATTTGAAGTGAACTTTAAGATTTCTCCACGAGTTTATTAATCATGTCTCTCGGTAACCTTGGACGTGATTGCTTGCTGTTGTGTGTTTTCACACTTTCTAGTCTACTTTTATTGGAGCTGATTGCTTCCTGGACTTGAACTTCAACCCTTTGTGTGTGAGATTTCATTCTTATCGGTTGGTAAATTTTGTCTATCTCGATGTGTCTATTGATTGATGATTCACTGGAATACCAGGCAGCCTTCTAAGAATTCTCTAGCATTCTTGTCTAACATTTGAACGTCGGCCCAGTCGAATTGATGTCCGTGGTTGTCTGTAGTGAGTGATATGAGGAAGTGGATGTCATGTCTTTTGACGGCTAGCTTATGTTTATGGATACGAAGAAGACGAGGAGAACGTCCACTTTGGCAGGGTGTGAAAGCACACAAAAACAACCAATCATGTCCAAGGTAACCAGGAGAGATGATTAATAAACTCGTGGAGTATGCGCTGAAGATGTCGCCTAGTAGGGCGATGAAAGCTTCGCACAATTAACTATCCAGCTCAGAGAACACAACCACATGAAAATCATCCACATGAGCTATAAATCTTCTCTATCATATCTAAATATATCTTTGGTCAGCCATGAGAGTTATATTCTCCCATTTCTAGTTAAGGCAGTGTTAGGAACAACCTGTCCACCTACGCTAAAAGTTTCTCTCTATTATTATTGTTACTACATGAAACCATCCAAAAATAATATATTAATTATGATTAAGTACCTTTCTCCTGATAATCCAAGTCGTTTTTCACTGGTTCCAATGAAGCTGACACAGGTTGGATATTCACCTAATTAACACACAGAAAAGATATTATTGAAGGTGATTAAATTAATACATAAAGATGTATAATGATACGAATCATAAAAGGAAAACAATTGAAACAAAATATGTCACAGAAGTTAATATGCCTAAGTGATTGAATTGTAGCTCAATCGCTAAATAGTCAAACAACTAGCCTAGTAACCAACAGATGGAGCACTGAATGTGCACTGATGAGGAGTCCCAAGGTAGGGTGAAACAGCTCTGCTTTCTTTTCAGCGATTTTATGATTGGTATCGGCGGTTTGCGACATCCCAACTCCAAGTTTAAACTATACGATGTAAGGATAGAATCAGGAAATTATTTGTTGGAAGTAACCTTCACAGGTCGATAAATTACACTCCCAAAATTAAGAAAAAAACTAATGGACAGATAGACAGATACTATTCAGAGCTTTACAACACAAAGGCGAACAGAAACAGAGAGATCGTTTCTTTTTAAAATTCGGTTAGTAATGAAACATTGACATGCTATTCAAACACATAAGTATAAACGCGTTCGAATATTAGTTAACTGATAACTCCTACGTGGTCAAATAATTAGAATTTTACATCTAACCTGAACAATCGCTTATTGCTCACTATGCAATAAAGATACCAATATTAGATGGTTGGAGGCAACCGGCAGGAAGCCTTGCTTGACGTAGATTTCGTACCAGCTGGCACTCGTCATCTAGACGTATCCCCAACAATCTAATATCATCAAATCAATGCGCACCGTGATGGCGAGCTACCTAGAATGGTGGCCACATTGCAAAACGGACTGACAGAATTCATTCTACACCAAAGAAAGGACTAGACACATTACACTAGTTACTGAGTAGCGTCCAATCAAAGACACCAATAGTAAACAACCAGTGGTCTTTTTTCATATTTAGTGACGATTATTCAAAACTGTAAGGTAAGAAGAATAGAATCAGTGTCCAATATGGCGGTGTAGATATGATATCCGGCTACCAATCGAATGATATGTTCACAGTTCGCTCCATCCCGCCTTATATTCGTAATATATAACCATTGAAAGTGAAAGACGTGAAGAGGCTAGCTGTCTTCAACCATAGATCTTTGCTTTCCATCTCTCATGTTAAGCGGTATAATATGCCGAGTAGTATTGAGTTTAGGAGTAGAGTGTTAAGTAAAGAAGCCAAGTCAGTCCATACGTTTTACACATGTCAGGTCACCGGCTTTTTTAATCAGACAACATTATCTAACATAAGATTAGATAAGAAAAGAATTAGAAGCAGCCAGACCAAAACACTGCACCAGTTCATGAACTCTTCGACTGTTGGTTTAAGCATGCTTAGCTTGAGGATTCCTTGAACTGATAAGAACAAATGACTGGTCACTGTTGGTAAATTGACCCGAAATTCTACTCATGAGTAAATAAATAAACAAAGAGAATATGTATATATATGAGTGAAACTTACCTTTCTTTCAGAATCAATATTAGTGTTTAGGGACGACTGAGATGGCGGTTTACTACTTAAATAAATTTCTTTATCCATCACACTTGGTGTATTTGGCTTTAATACTATTTCTTTAGCTGATAATTTGATTTTAGAAAAAGAGAAAAAGAAACAAAAATGGAAATGATATGAAATATTGCAAAGTAAACAAAAGCAAAATGCATATTACAGTGATGAATACAAAAACCACTTAAAAGTGAGGTATAACAGAGTAATGCTAACAGTAGTTGGAAGGCTTAAAATGTATAATTAAAAAAAAACAGACACTGTGAACACAAGCAATAAACATCGCCTGATTCAGATCTAGCCAACAACAACAACAAGTACTAGTCACACTGTCGATTGGAAAAATTTGAAGGAAGGCACCTGATTCATTTATCTACGCATCGTTTCAACTGTAGGCAGAAGTTACGGGCGGAGATGTCAGAAGCAGAATCGGAAGGGCGAGACAGACGCTAATCACTTTGAAATCCGTTTGGAAATTTTCTGAACTCACTACGTGGAATAAAATTCGGATTTTCACCACCCATGTCAAGTCAGTCAGTGCTTCTATATGGTCCACAGATATCGAATATCATGAGAAGGCATTTCTAAAAGGCTACTGCTGACTTCTATCAACATTTGCCTTCTCTGACTCCATAATGAAGATCAGATGGCCAATGAGCCGGAAAGGATTAGCAACAATGAAGTCTACAGTGCAACAAACTGACCAAGGACCCGTCGACCAACTAATAATGAGTAGGAATTAAAGACGAACTGGACATTCTCTGAGTAGACCGTTGAGTGACACTGCTCACCAGTTACACACTAGAGTGGAACCCCAATACGGAACGACGAGTTCCACCTTGGTTCAAAGCTGATATGGAGGAGATCGCATGAGGAGGAAATCAAAGCATATGATTAATCATGCAACCAGCTAAAAAGAACTGTAGGAAACAAGATGAAATGGAGATGTGCTTCTGAAGCTCTGTGTTCTAACAAGGACCCTAGGGAATAATAACAGATACATACATACAAACTCTTTAAAACTGTTATCCAACAACAGTTTAACCTAAGGATAGTTTGAAAAATCCCAAGAATGATATACACTATCATCGTATCAACTAGCCACTAGAACAGTCAGGTGTCCATTCGATATCCAATTCATTTACACTAAACAGTTAGAAAGAGGATTGTCTGTGACGTCAGAATTAGCTAGTAGTAAAGTCACTGATTTCCCAAGCGGATAACGTAGATTTGCTATCTCGAAGATAAAATATGTCTTTCCAGACAACAGATATACATCTTTTTGATAGAAACTAACACTCAAGCGGCTTAGATTAGTCATTGCATTCCTACCATTACTGTTGCGTGTTAGAAGTAGACGCTCGATAGGTGTGATTTCCTGAGATATTATACAATTTATATTATCAAAAGTTTGTTTCAAGTTTGACCACGGATCGATATCAGTTAGAGAATCATTGAACCATCCTAGTTTTGGCAAATCATAAGGACTACGCACCCACTGGGTAATCCTACCAAACTGGGACCTTCCAATTACAAGGCAAGCGCTCGTAGACCATTGAGATACTGTAAGCTGACTCTTTAATAATCTTAGATAATATACATGTCATTTAGAGTGATGATCATAACTTTGATTTGTCTCAAGTTCGATCACAAATTGATCTCAGTTACAGAATTATTAAAGGAGAACAGGGGTAATGGACAACAACAGTGCGCAAATATGACTCCTGATAGGAGATCAAGAGTAGAATCTTCAGGTTACGAGACCAGCCAGCTAATCATTCAATCACTGGGACGGTTTCCAGGGGTTCATGAATTCCAATGTTCTTTTCTGCTTACTAATCAATGGTAATTCGTTTTCGTCACCTTTCCCATTGATTATATACAGTCTAGCTACTTATATCAGCATATTTTCTATAGAAGCTTAGATTTGGCCTGTGTGTTTCGTGATACCTCAGTTCTATTCAATAGACGCAACTGGTATTCATTGTACAGTTGGTACTGGTATTGTTCATTCGATGAATTATATAATAATCATTCAATTAGTAAGAAACACTTTCACAATTCATAAATTCTATTACTTATCAATAGATCGTTAGTTTTATATTATAAGTTTAAGTTGTGCAGATAACGAAGGGTACAAATACAGGGATGAATTCATGGAACATAAAGGCAAAGTTCACAAAAACAACGACGACGACAACAACAATCACAACATCAACTTACCAGTCTCAGAATTCTGTTCATCACGTTTAATAGTCTCAGAAGAACCATAAAGTATAGTGGAACCGGCTACCCATGGCTATAGTGTAAAAATAAAAACAGAGGAAGCCAAACTTTAAAAAACTGAAGTAAAATGAGATGCATCCGTTAAATGGAAAGTTCTTTCTCAAAGGAAAACATCAAAGTCTCAGCTAACTGGAGTTTTAGCGGGAAGTCGTGACCAATGTGGTTAGTAGTTTCGCTAAATATTCCAAACTCGCAGAAGGTGAAATTCCTGGGTTATTAGGTGGGGCCCCAGTGCGCCTTGTAATCGGAAGGTCCTGGATTCTAAACCCATTGGTAGGTGTGTCCTGATGAAGAGTCTCAAACTAGGACGAAAAAGCTATCCAGTACTCTCAAGCGTCCCAATCGGTTCTCTCACTGTTATCAACTCGTGACCGAATCTGTAACCAGCCAGATCACTGGAAACTAACATTTGATAAGTGTACAACGCACCAGTTATAATTTATGCAAAACTTAAAGATTCAGACACCTACTAAAATAGCTGGGATACGTGTTACCCACTCTCACGAAAACTGTCCGAATCAGCAAAAAGCATTAACCAAAAGAGTAACTAAAGTTGACAATAGGCTGAGGGTTCAAAATGTTAACCCATCCAAATGCTGAACTTCACAGTATGGATAAGTGTACACTACACTATTGGAACCTTAATAACTTATTCAATTTCTATGTGACTATATATGTAATGTACATCCGATATTGTTTTTTATTCAAATATCTAACCAATTCCACTCATGTATATAAATGAAGAAAAAAGTTGTGTCAGTAACTTGATATGATTATGAGCAGTAGCTTGTGCTCGAAACGTCATTAGTTAGCATTACTGTATAGCTTTCAGTAACTTAATGGCATCCAAGACTTCCGATTTTGACGGACAACTAATGTCCTGTGGTTACTGTTGGCTGTATTTTTGGACGAGTTGGTGGTCGATTCAAGAGTCCTCTGAAATGATCAGCGTACTACTTTCTTTGTCTCTCCTCTTTGGTAATTAGACTCACTTCGCTATCTTTCATTGGTTTCATTTGAGTTAATCTCTTTACCGGATAGCCAGCCACCTGGCTATTTGATATAATGAGTTGAGATCCCCCTTACCTGAGAACTGTTCTGCTTGAGTTCCCAGTATCTCGTGGAATTGTCTCTTGTCTGTCTTTCCAAGCATTATTCAGTGAGTCGTAGAATTAATTCACCTTCTCCTTTCGTTATCCATCTGTACACCTGCCCACCGTCCACTTCACTATCACTCCCTCTTCTTCTATTGGTTTCCATGTTCCCTTAAACAGCCATTTCCTATTTATTGTAAGGGTAGGAGAATTTTTTAGATGTCCGGATGGATAGGTGTTGATTTTCACCTATTGCACGCATCCTCAGTTGATTGGATAAAAATAAAGCTTCAGTTAGCACTCGGTCTCTCTGTCTCTACCCACCCTGTGACATTAGACTATATGGCTGTCACTATGTCCTATCCTATTGTATGGTTGTGTATAACTGCACAAAATTTTATAATTCAGCTTACTTGTAAATTAGAACAAGATATATAAGCGAACAATACTGTTTTCAATTAGATCTTCATCAGGCTTTACTCTAACTTACATAGATTTATACATAAAAATTTTAACCAATGACGGTGATTTTGTGGATCAAATAATAATAATGTGGTAAATGTTTTGAACGTAGTTAATAACGAGGATTATAATGATAATAAAATATTGATAATAAGGTCTATGCAGATGATAAGAATAACAAAGGTAGTATATGTATATATTTGTATATGTAGACAATTCAATAAATAAATAAATTAGGTAAAATCTTCAACGGCGAAGTGGACAGATCATCAGAGTTTAAATAAATACCATAAAAGTACGAAGGGAATGGAAAATAAGAAAAAGTGGTAGGGTTTTGTTAAGAATTTACCTAGACCAAGGGAGAGACAAATGTAGAACAAACTTCTTTTGTATGCAAAGACCATGATTGTTCTCTCAAATTAACTCCCATAGCTTCGGCTATGTGTAAAAGGCGAGTTCGAATTCCATTCGAAAGGTTAGATGGAATGCGATAGATAACTTTGAAGGCACTACTTCTGTCCACTTGGTGACCGCTATCAATCAAATGAACCAAAATAGTACTTCTAATATATTTTATTTGGCCTTTGGCCAACCATGAAGGAAGATGCTCATTAATACGCTTGTTGAGTTACCTAGTTGTTCGCCCTATATAGCTCTCTCCACAGGAACAACTAAATTTATAGATACACATAGAAGTGGCACAGGTAGGTAGGTTGTCTTTCGCTTGAGCAATCATAATTGGTCGGCAGCTAGAAAACGACAAACAAAGGGTGTTGATAGTATAAGTCCGTCTTATTGCCATCGATAACTTTAGATGTAAGACTTCACTAGCCACATCCCCATTAAATTGCAATTTTAGGAACATTTATTTCTCATTAACTGTTGTCAGTTTCTCTTTATTATACCTAGTGTGTTCATGTGTCTCCTTACAAATCTACTAGGATAACCCATTTGGACCAACGTATTTTGGATGTATCCTAGCCTGAAGAAGATATAATTGAAAACAATATTGTTCGCTTATATGTCTTGTTCTAATGTTAAAAATGGGAATATTTAGAGATTTTAAATTACTTGTAAATAATAACAGTAAAATAACAACAAGGATATCAAAGCCAGAATCGGAAAAGCAAGACAAGTTTTCATTTCTCTCAAGTCTATGTGGAGGTCAACAGCATTCAGCGTCAAAAATAAGATCCGTATTTTCAACTCCAATGTGAAGGCAGTACTACTATACGGATCAGAGACTTGGCGTGTCACAAAGAGCAGCTCAAACAAGCTACAGACCTTCATTAACAAATGCCTTCGCTCAATACTCAAGATCAAATGGCCGGAGAGGATCAGCAACAAAGATCTCTGGGAGCGAACCAACCAGGAACCGATCGTGAAACAAATAGGCAGGAAGAAATGGAGATGGATTGGACACACTCTGAGGAAACCAGCAAGTGACATCAATAGACAAGCCCTCGAGTGGAACCCGAAAGGGAAGCGACGAGTTGGCCGTCCAAGGGTGACCTGGAGGAGATCATGTGAAGAAGAATTGAAAGCGTGTGGGCAGACTTGGAGCCAGGTGAAAACTACAGCAGAGAACCGAACGCAATGGAGACGCATGGCTGAAGCCCTATGTTCCTCTAGGAATTAAAGGAAATAATAATAATATAAAATAATAATAAAATAACAACAATAGGTAATGCTGTCTCACTGTTTGATATATCCCATAAATGAATTAACATGGAACAAAATACAACCACTATGTCCACATTTAACACATAGATCCACATACTTGCTATTACCTTGAACTTGCAATTACTAACACACGTTTAAAACCAAGGTTTAGTTATTACATCACAATAGTATCTTCCCCCCCCCCTCTTTTCACGACACATCATTTATTTTGACCTCTAAGATAAACGTACTGACCTTTATTGATTCAATTGTGACCTTTTAAACACTGAATATCCGAAAAGTGTTACATAAATACATTAAACATGTCAAATAAATTAATAGACTAAATCACGAACTGGTAGAAGTCAGAATTCATGGGCTGGCCAATGAATTGGGTCCCATTGGCTGAATGGTATACCAGCTTACCTTGTAACAAGAAGGTTAGGGGGTGCGAACCCTAGCAGTGAGTGCGTACTGCCGATGATTCCCAAACTAGGATGAAACAGCTGTTCAGTATTCCCCGGATGTTTCCCATAGTTCTCTAGCTGATATCAATCCGTGGGCAAACTCGAAAAAACAAACCTAATCCTTACAAATCAACTGTTGAAAATAAGTTATACCTTACTTATTATTTTGTGGAAAAAATTTATAAAGGGATGGCATAATTTAATTTACTGGGATGAGTAGAATTAAGCTAAAATTGAAGGCGAGATTCAAGTTAACAACAGTGGTAATAATGGGTAGAGATTTATTAGGGAGTGAGGCAAGAAAATAATACAATTAAAAAACCAAAAACCCCTTTAAAACAATTAGTTCCCTTTATGAATTTAGATAAAGCAATAAGAAGATGTAATTTGTCTCAATCGTGTGTGTAATGTATTTGTGCAACACATTTCGAACAATCTGATCACACACGGACTTATATGTCGTACAATGAGAATTTATCGGAGGATTTAATCGAAAATGTGCCACTTTATAGAAGGTATGTAGGTGATATTGTAATCATCAGTGATAAGCGTCTTGTTCTCCCGCCTCAATTTTAAATCAAATGAATGCAGTTCAGAATAGCATATCACTTACATCTGTCTGTAGAAGAGGAAGATAATTGTTTATCTTTCCTTGACATATTGCTTCGTCAACGGCTTGATGGGTCGATAAAAAGATCTATTTATCGAAAACCTACATGGACAGGACAGCATCTTAATTACCACAGTTTCTGCCCTGTTCGGTACAAAAGAGCCTTAGTAAGGTGCTTCTTCAGTAGAATCCAACGAATATGCATTGAAGACATACTTGATGAAGAAGAAAGAAAGTTGACACAAACTGTGGTTCATAACAACTATCCAGACAAGTTCATCAGGAGATATAAAGTAGTCAGAACACCAAGACCCACTCTACAACTCGCCCATAAGAAAAACGTGTACATCAAGCTACCCTATATGGGGGACGGGCATCATAGCAGCTTGATAACTGGACAAAGACTGAACACTGCTGTTAAAAAGACTTTTTATGCAGCTAATATCATAATAATTGAGAATATGAAGCCAATATATCCATCTAAGCCCTTTGAACATGCGAAAAATGATGTCCAGCATCCCACTGTATTTACCAATTTGAATGTACGTGTGGACACACATACATAAGGAGGACTCATCGATCTCTGCTAGTAAGGGATGGCTTCAGAGCATATTCCCAAATGGCTCCAAAAACAAATGGAATCTCCAGAACCCATTAATGGTGAGAACAGGAAACCTAGGTCTTCTATTGCGAAACATATTATAGAGACAGGATATAAAATTAACGTTAACAGATCTTTTAAACCCATCTATAAAACGTGTTTGGGGCGTATCCTAAAGTTTATGTAAGCCCTTGCAATTAAAAAGTTTAAACCACCTTCATGCGTTCAAACCTTCCTTGGTAAATTTTGTTTTGATATCATATCAGATGTACTATTACCTCTGTTATTTGGTTTAGTGATCTCCATTGTTATTTTCACCTTCAATGTGTCCTTTTAACTTAACCTAAGTCTATTTTCTCACCTCTTAACTCTTTACTAATTTCATATATATTCCTATGACAAGTCCGTGTGTATGATCAGATTGTTCGAAATGTGTTGCGCAAATACATTACACAACCATTACAACCACTTTGAAACAGACCAGGTTGATTTTGTAGATTTAGTGAATGAACAAACTGCTTTTGCATGAAGAGTTCTGGATTTAACATATGAATTGCCATCGCCTCTGCGATTTGAAGAAGTTTGACTCGTACTCACTTTGCAAGGTTCCCGCTGTTGGGGGATCTTTCTACTCCTTTTGCAACCTTATCTTAGAACACCTAATCGAATCTGGGCACCAAGTTAACCTAAAAATCAATTTCAAAGTCATCTATAGAATAGACAGGAATCTTGTTAAAAGAAATCCTCCATGCAATCAAACAAAATTCCTACAAAACCAATACTTGAAAAGAGTAAGCATCAAACTTCTTCAAACTGCAGAAGCAATGGCACTTAACATATTAAATCGTGAACTCTGTATACTAAAAAAAGAAGTTTGTTCAGTCATTAAATCTACAATCGACCTAATCGGTCTTAACACCAAATACGTGTTTTTTAATTGTAATATTTTCCTCCGTCACCACCTATTAAATTACTAGCCCTTATTACCACTGTGGATAACTTAATCGCTGTGGTTTTCAAGCATCAATGTCCTAACTCAATTGCATACCCAAATCAGTCCTACTATCACAACTAATGTTAATGCTAATAGAGTCAATAAATTAATAATAATAATAATGTTATAATCACTTACTTCCGAATCATTCATCTCCCTTGATATTGACACTGAAACTTTTCCACGTCGATTTAACGTTATTTCCTTATCTGTAACATGATTAGTGAATAACGATGACGGTGAAATTAAAGTGAAATAGAGGTCATTTTATGAATGAGTATTAGACCGGAGGTCATAGCATACTAACAAAATAATCAATAATAATAATGATAATAACTAGTTTCAACTGTAAGAAAAAGAAAACTCAACCTGAAACCAATCTGGAAATCTTCGTCACTCAGCCAGTATCAACAACAAAATTCGGATTTTCAATACTAACGTCAAGTCAGTCAGTTCTTCTATACGGATGGATCAGAAACTTGGCGACGGGTCACAAAGAATATTTCCAACAGCCTGTTGCAGACCTTTATCAACAACTGTCTTCGTCGCTCTATACTGAAGATCAGATGGCCGGAAAGAATCACCAACAAGAAACTATGGGAACAGACAAAAGAAGAACCAATCGCCCAACAAATATGCAGGAGAAAGTGGAGATGGATTGGACACTCGCTGAGAACGCCGCTGGCTGGGTGACATCGCGCGTCAGGCCAGTGCTCGAGTGGAACCCGAAAGGGAAGCGGTGAGTGGGACGTCCAAGGGTGACATGGAGGAGATCGTGTGAAGAGGAGTTGAAACAGTATGGACTAACATGGATGCAGGTGAAAAGTACAGCAGAAGACAGAAACAAGTGGAGACGTGCAGTTGAAGCCCTATTATTCACTAGGAACCCAAGGGAACAATAATAATGACAATACAATAAAAATTTACAAAATAACTATCCAACCTATTCATTATATTAACAATACTCCTCGATTATCTAAAATGCAGTAAAGGTATACAACATGGCGATTGACAAGCTACAGGATAACATTGAAGGCATTCATAATCAGTTATTCTGTAGGACAATATATACATTTCCGATACAAAATCAATTTAGTCAGACGCCTCATGAATAGAGCAAGACGCATTTGTAGAGATAACTCGCTAGAAAAGGTCCAAATGGGTTATCCTAGTAGATTTGTAAAGAGACACATGAATACACTAGGTATAATAAAGAGAAACTGACAACAGTTAATGAGAAACAACTGTTCATGAAATTGCAATTTAATGGGGACGTGGCTAGTGAAGTCTTACATCTAAAATTACCGAGAGCGATAAAACGGACTTATACTGCCACCACCCTTTATTTGTCATTTTCCAGCCAATCAACAGTGATTGCTCAAGCTGTGCCACTTCTATATATATCTACAAATTTAGCTCTTCCTGTGGAGAGAGCTATATAGGGCGAACAACTAGGTAACTCAACAAGCGTATTAATGAGCATCTTCCTTCATGGTTGGCCAAAGGCCAAATAAAATATATTAGAAGTTCTATTTTGGTTCATTTGATTGATAGCGGTCACCAAGTGGACAGAAGTAGTGCCTTCAAAGTTATCTATCGCATTCCATCTAACCTTTCGAATGGAATTCGAACCCACCTGTTACACATAGCCGAAGCTATGGGAGTTAATTCGAGAGAACAATCCTAGTCTTTGTACACAAAAGAAGTTTGTTCTACATTGGTCTAGGTAAATTCCTAAAAAACCCTCCCACTCTCTCTTATTTTCTATTTCCTTCGTACTTATATATATATATATATATATATATATATATATATATATAAACGCATATCTCCATATGGTAATACTTAGTTGTACAAGGCAAAATAGTATTTAGACTGATAGTTGAAAATCAAACACTTTTGCCGATGGCCGATGTTAGTGTTACTCATACAGTTGGTAACAAATCACACCTATTGTATATTGACTGATAAAGCGGGGTTTGAACCCGTGACCTAGTGGTTAAAAGTCGCTCATGCAAACCATAAATAATTACCACTTTCACAAAGTGGAACTCTAGACTTCAACTCAGCCCCCATCATATGTCAATGATACGATAAAATTAGACAGTTAATTCATCTACTAAGTATCAGATAATCGGCGGCAAAGGATAAGCAGGGAGGAACTCTCGCAGTGAGACAAACCAACCACCAACCTATTGCCTAACAAATATGCCGAAGGAAATACAAATGCAATGGACATACACTGTGGTGATCATTGAGTGATATCACATATCAGACACTAGAGTGGAAATCGAACGGGAAGCGACAAGGAGTTGGATGTGAGTCCTGAGGTGATGACATAGAGGAGCCAGTTAGAAAAGAGACGGTGGAGAAATGCTGATGTGCTGATGAAGCCCTCTGTTCCACTCGGAACCCAAAGGAATAATAATAAATCACTAATAAATGCGGCTTAACAAGAAACAGTAAGAGATATTTTTACAAACCCTATTGTTAAACAAACTATAGCCGAAAACCAACAAACTGCAAAAAAAACAGCAGAGACAGGATTTCAAGTGAACATAGAGAAACAGAAGTGATGAAGAAAATCAATCAATCAATCAACAACAACAACAGCACGTACCAATCACTGTCAACGAAAGAATTTGAAAGAGGTCAGTTCTTCCATTTATCTGGTTGGGCACTATCGTTTCAACTGCAGGCGATAGGCACTGATGACGATATCAAAACCAGTCAGGATTGGAAAGGCAAGACAGACCTATATCACTCTGAAATCATCTGGGAAATCTTCAACACTCAGAATAAACAACAAAATTCCGATTTTCAACACCAATGTTAGTTAAGTCAGTCAGTTATTCTGTATGGGTCAGAAACTTGGCGCTCTTGTCACGAAAAGCATCTCCTACAGGGCAAAGAGGGAAAATCAATCGACGAGGCTATAAAGTTACATAGATTGAGATGGCTAGGTCACGTGCTGCGCATGCCTAACCATCGCCTCCCCCGACGGGCATTACTAGCTGATATAGGTGCAGGTTGGAAAAGATTAAGTGATGGCCAAACAAAAACATGGCCTCATCAATCCATGAAATCCTTGACAGTTAAACTGAGTCAGGTAGGTAGGGAGATGCAGACTTCCGGGTTGGGGCCTTCGGGACTCTAAGAATCAATGATGGCTGGAGACAATAGGTGACATGGCTCAAAATCGTTGTCAATGGCTTACGCAGATGTATTCAGTCTCTGTAATCTTTCATATTCCTTTCTACCATTGCTCATTCTGTTTCACTGTTATACTTGTCAAAACTCTACTGATTCCCTTCACTCATTTTCCTATCTACCTTTGTGTGCTATTTGGAACGTGGCAACTCGAACTGCCGCACTTCGGTGCCAAGTTCTATGTTGAATCCAGCCAGCCAGCCAGTGAAGACTACTATCAACAGCTGCCCCACTCGGTGGCTCCATACTGAAGATCGAATGGCCAGCCGGCCGGCAAGAAAGAATCAGCAACAAGAAACTATGGGAACCAATCAACCAAGATGGGGAAATGAGCGCTTACGGGCAATCAATCATAGCTTAAGAGGACTGCAGGGAGTAGGATGAAATGGAGATATGCTGTTGAAGCCTTTATAATATAATATAATAACTCTAATATAATAATGAAAAACAAATTACTCTCTACGTCATCAGGTGACCAGTTCATTAATTAATGTCAATCAATCTAAGCAGAACTCACTCAACTCAGTAGACGTCTTCTCGATCACCTTCTTCTCCTTGTCATTCTCTTCATAACCATGAGCAGACTGTACTTCACGTTCAATAGCCTAATATGAAATGAAGTATAATACACAGAAAATTAATTAACTTATATATGATAAAGAAAGAGAAACACAAAAACACCCACTTTCATTACCTTCTCGACAGTTGAAGCATCCATTCCTCTCAGACGATTGTTGTTCACATCGAGTGAAATTAACTTTGAATAACAACTATACTAATTATAGCTGTATGACGTAAGATGTTTATAAGTGGTGATATTGTTTTCAGTGTTACGTAATGAAATCAATTAATTAACGAATCAAATCATGAATGAGTGAGTGGGTGAGTGAGTGAATTTCAAGCAGCCCCTCACTTTTTTCGGGGGGAGGAGGAAGGGGTGGCCATTTAATTATTTGTTGACAGTTCATATCACACTTTTTCAATTGGGCTAGAGATAACGAAACTTTTTTTGTCATGCTTTCTATATTCTGATTTCGGAATTTCCAACCATATTTATCAATAACAAATAAACATCTTATTGATGTTGAATATCGATTGAATCTGATCAAATCTAGCGGCAACAACAACAACGCGTCTGTCTATGCAACCTGTTTGTTGTTGTTGTTGTTATTGTTACCTCAGAACAACCACTGACCTTGGCAATTATTGGATCACAAGAAAAGGTTAATGATAATTGACCCCATGACCTAACTATTAGACCGGAGGTCATAGCATACTAACAAAATAATCAATAATAATAATAACTGGTTTAAACTGTAAGAAAAAGAAAACAAGATAAAGATTAAGCCTGAGCGAGAACAACAAAATATAATGGTGTTTTTACTAATGACAGTATCATGAGTATTCAAGTGTCAGTTTGCAGGGATTTGACTCGATTGGTTACAGGATTTCATCATGAGCTGACATGAATCAGAGAACCACTGGAAAACCTGGGAGTACTGGACAGCTGTTCCGTCCTATTTTTGGCACTCTTCAGCAGTACGCACTCACCGGGGTTCGGACCTAGGACCTTATGGTTACAAGGTGAGCCACTGGGACCCGATCCAATGACCAGCCCATGAATTCCAACTTCTGCCAATTCATGACATAGCACGGCCACTAGCCAATGTCTTCGGCGAGTATTTGTCCTCACGCTCCACCTGCTGTACCATACTGGTCACGACTTCCCACTAATATATCATTATTTCCTAGAGTTTCGAGTGCAACATAATGCTTCATCAACACATCTTCAATTCACCCTGTTTTTTTTGCAGTACTCTTTAGCTGACCCTACGATTGTCCATAAGCGTTCACCTCCTCCACACATGCTCTCCTCCATGTTACCCTCAGATATCCAATATTCGGGTTCCACTCTAAGGTCTACTCCACGTGATGTCACTCAGTGGTCTCATCATCAGCACATGTCTAATCCATCTCGATTACCTTCCGAGTACTTTTTAGGATAGAATTACTTGTTGTTTATCCTTTCCAACCGGCCATCTGATCGTCACTATCGAGATAGAGAAGGTAGTTGCTGATGAAAGCCTCTTTCAGGTTGTCGGCAATGCTTTCCATGATATGCTATGGCCTCTGAACTATACAGAAATGCTGAATTCGTTTTAATGTGTTGAAAATCCGAATCTTCTTCCTTATATTGACTGCAGTAGATTTCTTCCTGTCTGGCTTTGATATCCTCATCTGTGCTGCCAATAGTTGAGATGATCCTACCTAGATAAGTGAATGAAGTGACTTCCTCCAAACTTCTTCTGTAGACGGTAATCCGTGTTGCTGTTTTTGTTTAGATGTCTTCATCACATCTGTCTTCTCTATGTTCCCGTTGGAGGCTTGTCTTCATTGTCCTCATCTTCTGCCAACCTGTTGCTTTTCATCTGTACGTCTCCGAGGTTATGTAACATTAAGCATAAATCATCAGAGAAGTCCAAATCTTCTAGAGTCTTCTTGTCAGTCCAATGGATTCGTGTCTTTTCGCTCCCGACAGCGTGCCGCATAACCCAGTTCACAACAATCAGAAATATCACCGGTGACATTAGTCTTGTCTTGTCTTACTTCTGTTTTCCCTATGAGGTCAAATGGGGAATTTCGTGAATCAATTAGGTTGACCCTAAAAACATATCTGCCAAATAAGTTTAGAACTAAGAGTAGAAGGAACAGTCATTTCTATCCTATCACATGACCGTATAGTTTAATTCATAGAATTAAAAAACAGAGAAATAGGAATTAAACTGTTAAAAAAAATATACAGATATGAGACCAGTGAACAAAAACAGTAAACATTAGTTTCGTCTTAGTTTAACACTCTTCAGTAGCGTTCGCCTATGACCTTGTGACCGAGAGTTATTGAATTTTATGAGGCGAGTAGATTATTAATATTATTGTTTCCTTCAATTCCTAGAGGAACATAGGGCTTCAGCCGTGCGTCTCCATTGCGTTCAGTTCTCTGCTAGAATTTTCACCTGGCTCCAAGTCTGCCCACACGTTTTCATCTCCTCTTCCCATGACCTCCTCCATGTCACCCTTGCACTGAAGACGAACTCGCCGCTTCCCTTTCGGGTTCCACTCGAGGGCTTGTCTAGTGATGTCACTCACTTGATGGTTTCCTCAGAGTATGGCCAATCCACTTCCATTTCTTCCTGCATATTTGTTGCACAACCAGTTCCTGTTGGGTTGGTTCGCTCATTGCCAGAGATCCCAACCTGTTGTTGTTCTTTTCTGGCCGGCCATCTGATCTTGAGTATTGAGCGAAGACAACTGTGAACGAAGGTCTGTAGTTTGTTTGAGATGCTCTTTATGACGCGCTGGCCAAGTCTCTGATCCGTATAGTAGCACTGACTGACTTCACATTGGAGTTGAAAATCCGGATCTTATTTTTGATGCTGAGTGTTGTTGACCTCCACACAGATTTGAGAGAAATGAAAGCTTGTCTTGCTTTTCCGATCCTTGCTTTGATATCCTCGTCAGTTCCGCTGGCCTGTAGTTGAAACGATGCTTCTCAGGTAGGTAAAGGAGGTTGTTTATTTCAGGTTCCTCCCATTTATGCTGATTTTTGTCTGTTGTTGTTATTGCTGTTGGTGGTGTTGCCCAGGAATCTTCATCACCTCTGTTTTCTTTATGTTCACCTGAAGTCCTTCTCATCTTTGATGGTTCTTCTGCCAACTTGTTTCTTTTCGCTTGCATATCTTCCAGTTTGTGGGAAATCAGACATATATCATCGGCGAAGTCCAGATCCTCCAAATTTTTTGTGTGAGTTCATTTTATGCCTGTTTCCTCATTGCCCGCTGTTTGTCGCACTATCTAGTCTGCTGCAATCAGGAAAATCATTGGTGATAGTAGGCAGCCAGCTTGTCTTACTCCTGTCCTCACTTCGAAGGATTCCGTAAGTTTCCCGTTGTGGATTACTTGGCATACAGCATTGTCGTACAGCTGAGTAGATTAACATCCGCTATTTATCATATCACAGAGGATGAAAAAAAACAACACCTAGTGAACATCTATTGGGATTCTATTAGTCTGCAAAACAACATCAATTTTGCTATGTTAGGCAGTAGTGAGTTTAACTTACAATCGATTCGATATCTTCATTCGACTTTTTACTGTCAAGAGTATTATTATCTTCTGATTTCATTACAGGAACTGATGCTCGTCCACCATTCATAATAATTTCTTTTTGCATCGGTGATATAAAATCAACTGGTGATCCTATTGAAAAGAAAAGAAAAGAAAAAACACACACATATCAAAGTTTAATTTCAAGAAAAATAAATTCCTGTTAGATGATTGGAGGATACTGGTAGAAAATCCAGTCCAGATCTCATTTCCCCTCTGGATTTCGAACCCAAACAAACCAGTAGGGCTACCGTTTTGTTTATCGAAAGCAGGACACCACAGGAACACACAAATATTTGCCGGTTAGGCAAATCAACGACAGTTGTGACATGATAACAGTCAACTGCCTGCTTGCCTTGACTTGGTTGTCAGATTAGCATAATGCGATCAACTAATAAGGACCGATTATCATCTAAGGTACTATTGAATTGGTTGTATTTAGAAGTGGTAAGACTAGAAGCAACTACATTAGAGTGCACAGTTGAGCCATGAAAAACAATCCAGCCTACTGACTGAACGGAGATAATATTGCCAGGATAGTGTAGTCGGCTACATTCATTCATTGAGCTCTCATAAAAACGTACCTCTGTAGACTTGAAATTCCACCATACATTACAGCTTTCTGTCACTTGTGATAACTGGCTTTAAGAGAAAGTGCAATATTCCACTGTCTCTCCTTAATGATACACCGCTGATACACTTCGCTCCAGGTAAATCAAGAATACATAACATTTCAAAATGATGACAGTGTGAAGCGTTTGTTTTCAATCCATTTTCCTTTACCTAACTCGTCTACAAACATTGTTAACAGGTGGATTCAACTAGACTTTAATGTCAGTAAAAAGTTTGAGCATTGTGGGAAATAGATCAAATAAATTATAATTATATATATTTCAATAATTTACACACAGTGATAAGTTCTTCCTAATATTTCGAACAAAATTACTGCCCGTGTTCACACCAACTGCGTTGGATTTGTTTTGCTTTTCAATTCATATATTTATGATTTGTACTCATATATATACATATAGTTCTTTTTTTTTGTCCACTCATTTTTGTGTATTCAGAATAATATTTCAGGTCGTTGACAGTTGTGCTGCTGAGTGACCTTTGTTACATGTATCCGGTGTGACCTTAATGAATATAGATTCTGTTATTAGTCTGTTTTTCCATTTGTTCATATTAGTTTTTAGAATACAAACAGTGTTTCAATCAATATTGTGATTTTTGTCCCATGTATGAGCAGCTATACATGAATTTTTTTTCTAAATTCTTGTAAGCTTGTGTTCCTGTTGGTTGACCTTTAGTTAGACGTTTATGTTCATTCACTCTTGTTTTGAGTAATCTGGACTTTTGACCCGCATATTTAGTTGGACAGTCAGCACAAGATATTTTGTAAATCAAATTGTTTTTATCCATCACTTATATGGGATCTTTCAGTTCATTTATTTTATTTTTGATTAGATTTGTCGGTTTAAATGCCGATATTTTTGAGGTTTCTTTGAATTGCCTCTGATGTACCATTTATATATGGTATTGTGACTGTCTTTTTGCATTCTTCCATCTTGTTATTATCCGGTTTTACCCTCTTTTTTCTCTTTTTATATTATCTTTTATAAATTCTTTTGGGTAGTTGTTTTCCAGTAGCATTTTGAATGGGATGTTTATTTCTTTACACTGGTCCTCTGGCGTTGTTGTAAGTCTACGTATTCTATCTGCAAGACCTTGTACTAATCCTCGTTTCACCGTGAGTGGATGAGCTGAGTGATAATCAAGGAATCTTCCAGAGTGTGTGGTTTTTCTAAATAGCGTCGGTTTAATGCTACCATCTGTTATTCTTTGTATTTTGCAATCTAACATAGGCAGTTCCCCAATTTCATTCTCTACTTCCATAGTGAATTTTATTGAGTCCACATGGCTGTTTATGTATGAGAAGAGTTTCTCAATATCGTTTTTTTCACTATTACTAGTGTGTCGTCTACATATCTCCACCAACATTTCAGTGATGACCTGAATGGTTTAAGGGCATCGTCTTCCCAATAATCCATGAATATGTCAGTTATTATTGGTGAGACAGGCGATCCCATGGCCACTCCTTCATTTTGTTGGTATATCTTCCTTTCGAATGTGAAATATGTTGTTGTCAGACAGAATTCCACCCCTTTTATTATCTCTTCTACGGATAACTGTGTTCTGTCTTTTAGGCCATTATCTTCTTTTAGTTTCTCTTTCAGTGCATTCATGGCCGTTTGAATGGGTATTTTCGTATACAGACTGTTTACATCAAAGCTGACTAGTGTTTCATCTTCCTCTATTTTAGTGGTTTTTAGTCGCTTCACTAATTCAAATGAATCTATTGTTCTAGCTTGTGAGTTGTCTCTTGTTGGTCTTAGTATTGTCGAGAGAAATCTTGATAGCATATGCGTCGGTGTGTTCCTAAAATCTATAATCGGTCTTATTGGATGTCCCTCTTTATGCAATTTTATCTTGCCATATATTCTAGGTATACTGCATGATTTCGGCATAATTTAAAACCATTTTGACTTAACAATTACTTCCTCCATTTGTCTGACTACCTTTGCTGTTTCTTTCATTGTTTTGTTTGTGATTGTTTCAGCTGACTTCGTCATTAGGGTATATATAGGGTTCAGAATGTAGATGTTCATTCATCTTTTCATTATATGTCGTTTTGTTAAGTATTACTGTTGTGTTTCCTTTGTCTGCTTAAGTAATGACAATGGATTTGTCTGCTTTTATGTCTTGGAGTGCTTTTAGTTCCTCCTTCGTTACATTCAATTTTTCTGCTTTTTGCTTTTTTAAGGTTAATGCACATTGTGTTCGTACCAGTTCTGCTTTTTGTTTGTCATGTCCTTCGAGTGCTGTTTCAATTACGGGTATAATATCTTCAGGTTTTAATCTTTTGTTGCTAATATTGAAGTTCATCCCTTTCATCAGTACGCTTTCCTCTGCTTCTGTTAGCTTTCTGTCTGGCAAGTTTACAATCCAATTGGCTTTAGTTACTTGTTTGTCATTCGGAGTTTTCGCTATCATGAGTTTATTTAATTTTTTTATTTGTTTCTTCTTTGTTTTTTCATAGGTAGTTTCTTTTCTCTTTTGTGCAACTTCTAGTATGCTTTCATACTTCTCCTTTTCAATTGCTCTTTTCAATTTTTCTTTTACTTCATTAACATCTTTCCTTATTGTGAATAGTTTTCGTATAATTCCACTTAGGTTTTCTTTGATGCATATTTTTGAGGCATGTATGAGCGCTGCATTTGCTTTATCAGTAGATATCGGTGATTTTAGTCTCATATATACAGGAACGATTCCATTTTTTAGGCATCTGATGTTGAAAATTCGATGGTTCATAAATCGAGATTCAGCTTGAGAAGGTGGTAGCTGTCGATAAAAGTCGGCAGTAGCCCATAGGAAATGCTTTTCATGACGCACTGGCCAAGTTTCTGACCCATTCAGAAAGCCTTAGCGACTAGTGTTTAAAATTCGAATATTGTTCTTTTTGCTGGATGGGTAAGATTTTCCAACTAATTTAAGGGTGATGAACTGGTTTTGATATCCTCACCGGTACCGCCTACTTGTAGTTGAAACTAGGCTTCCTAGGTAAATGAATGAACTAATCTGTTTCAAGTTTATTCTGTTGATAGTGATTGGTGCTTGTTGTTGGTTGGTTGGTTGGTTATCTTCATCACCTCCTTTTTCTATATGTTTCCCTGAAGTATTGTCTTTGCTACCTCTTCTGACAATTTGTTGGTTTTTGCCTGTAAGTCTTCGAGTTTGTGTGACATGAGACATAAATTGGCGACGAAGTCCACATCCTTTAGAGTCTTCTTATCAGTTCACCATTTATCTACTGATGAATGCATATATATGTATTATATAATATATATATATATACATTATACATATTTGAAAGAGGTTACTTCATTCACTTATCTACGGAGCATTGTCTCAACTACACGAGAAACGGACGAGGATGTCAAATCAAGAATCGGGAAGGTGAGAAACACATTCATCAACCTGAAACCAATCTGGAAATCTTCGTCACTCAGCCAGTATCAACAACAAAATTCAGATTTTCAATACAAACGTCAAGTCAGTCAGTTGTTCTATACGGATCAGAAACTTGGCCAGTGTGTCACAAAGAATATTTCCAACAGGTTGCAAACCTTTATCAACAACTGTCTTCGTTCTATACTGAAGATCAGATGGGCGAAAAGAACAAGAACCAACAAGAAACTATGGGAAGAAACAAAACAAGAACCAATCGCCCAACAAATATGCAGGAGAAAGTGGAGATGGATTGGACACTCATTCGCTGAGGAGGAGGCCGTTGGGTGACATCGCGCGTCAGGCCAGTGCTCGAGTGGAACCCGAAAGGGAAGCGGCGAGTGGGACGTCCAAGGGTGACATGGAAGAGATGATCGTGTGAAGAGGAGTTGAAACAGTATGGACTAACATGGATGGAGGTGAAAAGTACAGCAGAAGACAGAAGGAAGTGGAGACGTGCAGTTGAAGCCCTATGTTCCACTAGGAACCCAATGGAACAATAATTATATATATATATATATATATATGTTATACAGGGATTTCGCCAAGTGACACTGAGACACATATTCAATATTAGGCGGTTTGGTTACGAGAAACATCATCCTTAATCTACACTGGGCGAATAAACAAAGTGGACTGAACAAAATACATCAGTTTAAAGAAAGAAAAACAAACAAACATTATTACAAGTATCTCTTACCAGCTGCTTGAATTTCATGTATATCAAGGCTTTTACGCAAAGTAACAGCTTTTGAATGTTGTTTAGACAATGAGCACGGAGATACACTGCTGGCTGACTGTAAGTAAAAATTTGTGAAATAAGAGAATTTATCAATAGATAGTTTAGTTAGATGAAATTCAGCAGCTAAAAGGAAGGTTACATTTGACGATTTTATACACAAAAACTCGGAGAACCCAATTATCAGTGTGTGTCTTCTTTCGCAGGTGCTTAAATACTGAACATGTATTGAAAAAAAATGTGTCAGGAGTATGGAGATAAAGTTTACCTTCCTATTTCAGCTTAAGCAATAGCAATTTATCGACTAGGTTGACTGAGTTTCTACACACAGAACTATGCATAGAAGTGAAACAATTCAAGTTTCCACATTCTTTGTACCGCACAGACTTGCTGGTTGGGGTCCTAGGGTCATAGGCTGGAGACAATTGGGTGATATGGTTCAAAATCGTTTTAAATGGCTAGCGCAGATGCATTTACTCTTTGTGATTTATAATATCCAGTAAAATTCTATTGTTCTTCCATATTAATATTCTTTTTGCCTCATATTTCTGTTTATTATCTCACTCTCTTTTGAATCTCTCTTTACTCTCTTCTCTTGGTTTGTGTGCTACAAGGAGGAAGTGTGGCAACTCGAAAATTGCTGCGCATCATCTGTGCAGAGTTCTACGTTGAAACCAGTTGGTCAGTCAGTCATGGTATCACACAAAGAAAGAAAAACGATATTTAAAAGAACTACAACAAGCAGAGTGCGTCGGTGGCATAGCGGTTAGGATGTTCACCGACCATGCACATGGTCCGGGGTTCGATCCCCGGCCACAGACGCATTCCTTTACCTCGCCAAGCCAGAAATAATGCTGGTGAAGAGGAAAGGTTGAGCATGAGGCTAGCAACCCCATCCTGTAAAATAAACACTGCTACAGAAACTTCAAGCCACTAGCTTGAAGCCCTATGTTCCACTGGGGAAAGCGAAGGAAAAAAACAAGCAGAAATGTGAGGGAGAAAGAATAGTAATATGGAAAACACAAGCAGGTTTAATAAATATGAGCGATCACAAAGAGTGTACGCACCTGCACCAGGAATCTTCAGTGATTGGTTCTTAGCGCCATAAGGACACCAACCGAATAGTCTACACCTCCCTACATGTTCGGTTTAAACTAACAGTCAGAGACTTCATTGACGTATTACAGGTTTTGGTTTGACCACACTACTCTGCCCTTAACTCTTTTCCAACTTAATCCCATATTGGATAACATTGCCCATCGAGCAAGGTGGTGGTGGGGGGGGGGGTAACACGTGTCCTACCTGCCTCAATCAGTATAACAACCTCATCGATAATGAGTTGCTCAATATTACTCACCACTTTTATACCGTTTAACACGTGAGATAAGACGAAAACACGTCTGTGGTTAAACACGGCTAGCACCCATAGCCACGGTTCGAACCCAGGGACTTTCGGATACAGAGCGAACTTGTAGATTGTTAAACCACTGGAACCCAGTCCATCTGATTATTGTCTTAACGAGATATATACCACAAGAAGAAAAAACGGCATAGAATCTAGAACATAAGCTGAGATTTTGTAGATTCTGGTTTCATATTACTACTTTGATAAACCTATTAACAGTATTAATAGAGCGAAACGTCAGTAATAACAAGCATAGTGTTTCGTTTTTCCACTTATTAGGAGATATAAAAACTTTCATATCAATAATGAATGTCATGTACCCAATGTCCAAATCTTCTGAAAATAATAAATGTGAACTATGTTTGGAAACCTATGGACATAGAATCTCACAACCTTCTGTGAGTGGAACACCCAACTTCTTTTATCTTCTATTCGAAATAATATACATATCACTTCAACCAGCCCCAACTAACTTCACTAAAAGCCAGGGAGCAGCACTGGACAGTCATTTCGTCCCAGTTTTGAACCATTCGGAAGTACGCCTATACCGGGTTTCCAACCAAAGACCTTCCGGTTACAAGGCCATCTCGTAGACCACTCAGTCACTGGAACCCGATCCAGTGGCTCAATTCGTGGGTGAAAAATTCTGAAGAGTCTCAAATTTGAGACGAAATAGCCCTATCTAGTACGCTCTAGTGATTTCCAATCGTTTATTGACATCAATCCCCTATCGAAGGAAATTCAACGCTGTGGTATAGTATAACTCTGCAATAAAATAATTGCAGTCGGAGTAATACATACATATTATGTGTTTCATAAAATAAAATTATTCTGATTTCACGATATCGTTGAAAGCCACCAGGGACAAGTGGACAGCTGCCTCATCTTATTTTCGTACTCTTCATCAGTGCGCACCTACGACCCCACCAAGGACCGAACCCCGGATGGTATCTCTATATCACGAGTCAATGAAGTTATAATTCAAGGGTGAAAGATGGCTGAATGGTCAACGGGCTTGACCTTGTAACTTAAAGGTCCTAGGTACGACCCTTGATGGTGGGGGTGGGGTGGGGTGCGGGGAGGCGGGGTCGTGTGTACTACCGAAGAGTTCCGAAAAAGGACGAAACAGCTAGCTAGCTAGCCATTTCTCCCTGGTGGTTTCCACTGATCTCTCTAACAAAACTTACAAATGAAATTAATTAATTAATCCACAAATTCTATATAATCTAAATTTATTCTATATTATGGAATAAAATGTTGCCTAGTTTCAATGTTTCCAAAACCAATACATTGCGTATCAAAAAGTTCACAAGTAAGAAGTTATAAGAAACTTTTATGTGGAGAGAAATACTCTTATCACACACAGATGCGTAACTTTGCAAATCTTTCCTCTTGTTTTAATTCTTTAGTGTTTATTTTTGTTCAACCCCTTTATAATGTAAGGGTTTCCTTTTTCCTTTCCTTTTTTAAAAAAAATGCTGGATGATATTTAAATTGTTCAACAGAACTCGAGCTCCAGTGAAAAGAACCACACCTCACAAAATAATAATAAAAGTTAATTTAGAAACCAAACACCTTTATACGCTTTTCTTAAGAAAAATAAATAAAGAGTGAAAGAAGGGCAGCAATCCAAATGAGTAGATATCATTATTGCTCTTATTACTAACGGTATTACTAGTAGTAGTAGTAGTGGCTGTTGTTGTTACTGTTGTTATTGTTGTTGTTGATGCAGTCTGAATGCAGCTCAGTCACAATAAAGTGCAGGGTCAATCTTATTATATTCATTGAGTAATTAATTAATTAATTATCACACGAAACAATAAACCTTGATTTATTTTTCATTGGGCAATTTCCACAATATTAAATATATACATATAGGGTGAGTTTCAGCATCGACAAATGGAAATGCATACACAAATGGATGAGTGAAGTACAGTCAGTCAGTCTGGCGCTCCTCTCTGCTAGATAAACATTCATTCACAGAGAAATAATGATGATCTAATATGTGTACTTGAACAAACAAACAAACAAAGAAGGTAATCATGAACAGTACGAATGCCAGTGATCTCTTGTCAACATGGGAGTTCATCGACACCCCGTATGATACCTTTATAGACTGTTATGCTTATTATAATAATGATCCAAATGCAAATTTAGGCCTATGCGTCACTTCAAGTATTGTTGGCATTATATCTATCTACATTCTACCGCTTGTATGCACATTTGGAATTATTACAAATATTTTCATCGGTTACGTCTTTCTGTTTCAATTCAAAAAGTTGAATCGACAATCAATCTACATGTCATTTATTTGTTTTGCTGATGCACTGACAATATTATTCTTCGGTGTACTGTGGATGATACCAGCTAAAGGGATCCCATATGCAACAGAAGGACGTGTTTATTACTTTATATTATATCAATCAGTTGGCCTGTGTCGATTTCATCGTGGTGTCTACTCGTTTGCTGCAACACTGGCAAGTAACCTGTTATTATTAACCTGTATAGATAGATGTTTGTGTATATTCTACCCGCTGAAATATCGTCAAGTACCAGTTCATTATGCATGGTATTTTATACCTGGTGTAGTTGTCATAACAATTGTATCCATTCTACCATTTATTATATTAAGTGATTTTCATAAAGTTGGTAAATACACCACATGTTGGTTGGATGAGAGTCAAGTTTTTCTACAAATCTTTAGCATACTATTTAATAATGCTGGTTTCGTGCAAACAATTTGTGTTCTGGTCTTGAATATAATATTCATGTTAAAAATGCGTAAAACATTTACAAAAGAACGCTTAGCTGATCCAAAATCAATTGAAAGTAAAGAATGGTCAGCATCTGTGATTCTATTTATTCTAGCTATGACTTTGTTATTATTTGGTTTACCACAGTGTGCTGCTTATCTAGCCGCTTTTCTTTTTCCAATGTCAATGTCTGGCATCCACTTGGAACAATCAGTACGTATTGCATATAATATAGCGGATATATCATGGCAGTGTATATTTGCACAGAATGCCTCGGCTATATTTGTCTGTTGGCGAAGAATGCATGAATTTCGTGAAGTGACACAGAGAATTTTGTGTAGACACGGTCCATTGAAAAGAAGGCTGGTGTCAGAAACTCAATCTACTATGGGATGATCCAGTTGTCAACAGATTATTCGTGTCTAACAACTATTTGGAAATTTGATTTGATTTGAATTGAATGCTTGTCATGAGATAATGAGGATGTAATATGCATATACGCATACCACAGGAATACAAGAGCAAACAGTTGTTATCATTGTAGCAAGCAGCACTATACTACTGATATATTCGTCGTAGTCAAGATATTTCAAGATTAATATACACATTACAATTTACTGGTTCATTGACAATTTAATCTGATTGCTGAACACTGAATTACTGTTTAAAACAAATCAGATTTTGAAATTCCACTTTACTAAAAATAGAAATAAATTTTCTATAACTGTTATGATACCTTTTTTTCTGTCATTATTTTGGTTTGTTTTCAGTCTAAAAAGTTGTCAGTTAAGAGAGAATCATGTTTTATTTTGAGGCAAATAAAAAAAGGGGATAATGACTCAAGTTACAGGACTGTAACCATTACCAACCTGCGTAATACATTCCTAGTTATCCAGGAACAGATTATAATATCCAGGCAGGCGAAGAGTGGTACACGCCAGACACCCTACTAGTTATGATCTGATAGCAAAGTGCTAGGTGGAAAACCCCAACAAGTATGGTAATAATATCACAGAGTGTGAAATAGTTTCTTGAAATTCAACTGATTTCAGCTTCGTTGACAATCACATAAGTCGTCTCCTGAGCAAAAAGTAAATCAACACGATGGAAAACAAGGCAGAAGTCTAGAAACGACTACAATAACAACTATGCTAGTGGTGCCTATGGGCCAGTGGATGGTGGCTATGGACGATATGAAGGAGGTTATGGAGGCTCCTAAGCAGGTAGTCCTTATGGTAGATATGGAGGAGGCTGTAACCCATAGCAAATGAATGATGATGGTCTTAGCTGGAATCAAGGAGGAATGGGCAATAGATTTGGTCACTACACGGCAGGGGAGCTAAGGCCGTATTTAATAATAACAATAATGGCTTTATTCTAAATAGTACTTTTGACACAATATGGAATGTTCAACATCTACATTACATAGTAAGGGGGAAATAATTAAGAGAGCAACAACAATACTTATATTAATGATGTAAAGAATGAAAAGTGTCATTTATTTGTTGCTCCACAGTACGGAAGTAACTTCACATACCCTAACACTTTTCTCATCACATAAAGTGTGCACTAAAAAGTCTACGTCTCAAGGGAACAAACACTTTCAACAGTGCTTTGCCAGGAATCTCCTTGATACGAGTCATAAGGTGGATATCGTAAGATACTTCAAAACCATCAGCAGGCAAACGAGCTTGATTCTCCTCAGTTTCGCCGAAGCAATCTCCATCAAACACCTGAAACCTGATTTAAGTGTGTTTAGAAGGAGGAAGCAATTATCAATCTCTCCTTGCCCACCTGGTAACTGGATATCTTTATTCTCTCTTTCACTTGATTACGCAACGCTGAAAATACTATTCTGTATGATTGTTATTATTTGAAATAAAGCAGTCATTATTACTTTTTTGTTTAATCTTGAACTCTATGGATAAGTATGCTAATATTGTTTCTGTATATATAAACTTAATAATGATATCTTTAGGCTGTAAGCAACTGATTAGAAGCCAACGAAATAAATGATGACACGATTTTATTCTACACAAACTATTGTTCTTTCTTTATTCAAATTCAGAAAGGCGAATAAATGTATAAAATATGGAATAGTTGAGTTTTCATATTTAATCGTGTGGGTATAAAGTCTTTTATAACTGCTTCTAGTCCTAGCTGATGAAGTGCAAGGGGAAAGTTGTTTGTAGAGACGGTGTTCATAGTTCGACAACATGATATTCGCCAATTTCTCGCATGAATTCAAGGGTATCTGGCCAAAACAGTATTAATGAGTTGGCTTACCGATAGCTTTTAGTGCCCTGCCCAATATAACTAAGTGTGTCTTAAGTAGCCCAGGAAAGATTAAGCGGAGCAGTATAGAAGACTTGGTAGATTACAAGAGTTCACAAACTGCAAAAGTACAGACTGATCGATACAAGATTATCTGTGTCTTCTATGATAAAAGAATTATGGGAACGAACCAATTCACGTAAATCACGTTTGTATCTGAAAATCAATTGGCCGGGCGGGTGGAGGGTTATTCCTTCACGTTCCTAGTGGAAAATAGGGCTCCAAGCCTCTAGTTTGAAGTTTCGGTAGCAATGGTGTTTATTTTTACAGGATGGGGTTGCTAGCCTCATGCCCAACCTTCCCTCTTTACCAGTCTCATTACAGCCTTAGCGAGGTAAAGGAGCGCATCGGCCGGGATTCGAACTCCGGACCACATGCGTGGTCGGTGAGCATTCTACCACTGCGCCACCGATGCACGGGGAGATTTAGCTTAATGTAATTCGACAAGGAACACTGACTAATTTCTGATAAAAAAATCAATTCATTTTAGACCCAGTATGGAAACAACCAGATCATCAGCATACTTAATAAAATCGGTTTCATCAGAACGAGAAAGATCATGTAAAAGGAATGTAGACAGAAAAGGGGAAAAAACAGCCCCTTCGCGGACACCAGCTGCAGAATATAAAGCAGTATACTGTTTCCTATCAGAAAAATAAGAATGTGACAATTTATCCATCCAGCAACTTGTTTGTATGATAAGCTATATACTAAAGGTGTGTTGTTTTACGGTAAGACTGTAGTCATCACAACCTGTGTAATACATCCCAAGCCAGTTATAACCTGGTACAGGCTTTTTATGTGCCAGGCTGATGATCCTCTCCTGGTAGATGACGAGGGTGCACCCTGCTGATCGTGGTCCGATAGCAAAGTACTACATGGACCACCCCGTCCTACAGTTTCAATGAAACCGAATTCTCAGCCAAAACAAAAAATAACCTTGATCATCTACTGTCCTAAAATGCCTGTCTACAATCAGCTCATCATTTAGCGAAGTGATACAATGGTCAGTAAAAGCTTAGTGTTATCGATGCCTGCAAAGTCAGCTGTCTACACTTTGAAAGGCACCATATATTGTTTTATCAAAGGAGTGTACATCAATACTATGAACTTCTTCCATAATAAAGAGATCATAATAAATCTCAGAAACTTTTGAAAAAAATATATACTAAGAAAGAACAATTCTTATTGAGCAATATACTTAATCTCTAAATCAATGGACAACCCCCACCCCACCCCTCGCCACTGGATCGTAACCTAAGTAACAGTTTTATGGATTAATCTGGAGCATAGAGAAATGAGTCCTTCGGTTGACCATTTGGTACGGAAACTCTAATCGCAAAGTAAAGAGCAGAATGTAAAACACCTCAAAGACAACGAAATCTATCTTTAAAGTTAATGGGATGGATTGCTTCCAGAATTAAGTACATAGTTAGTGGTACACTGAACAAAACTTATTCAAACTATCCATCTTATGTGCTTGCTTTCGACAAGTTGTTCATTATCACAAGTGTGCATAGGTACTCGCTAAACCCCGAATGTGTTCTGGAGTTCGATCCCCGATCGATGCACTCTTCAACCTCACTTAGTCCATATCACGTCCCATAAAGAGAGAAGGTTGGAAGTGAGGCTAGCAACCCCATCCCGAACCAGGAGGCTAACTAGTAAGCCGGAAGACTTGAATAGTGAAATCACGCAAATAATTTTTAAAAAAAGCATTATTAGTAAGTAACTCTAACACCCACTAGATTTTCTTCAAAGATGTATGAAGAAAAATAAAAATAGTAGTAGTATAAAGGAATTCAAAACGACGACGACAGGAAAGAAGGGATATCAGAGGCCATATGTAGAATTCTTAATAAAACTGGAATTATTATCATTATTATTCCATTGGATTCTGAGTGGAACATAGAGCTTCAGCAACACATCTGTATGGAGCTGTCGTCTTCATCTGGATCTACGATTGCCTCGCATAGTTTACTAACCCGTTAGTTTCCTAACTGGTCCCAAGCCCGGGTAAAGAGGGAGCGTTGAGCGTGGGGCTAGCGACCCTACCCCACAAAACCAATCCAACTCTTACAGAAACTTTAACGCACAAGGCTGAAATTAGGGTGGTATTTAAACCGACCTACTCATTCAGAGATAAACTTTGTCACCTTAAGGAGTTAACACATCCAATGAGGAAAACTAATATAACTTACCATGCTAATGGATGGATAGTGAACGGGCTGGTCTCGTAACCTGAAGGCCCTGGGTTCAATCCCTGGCAGTGAAATCATATGAGTGCGTGTCTGTACTGATAAAGGGTCTCGGACTAAGACGAAACACTCTTGTCAACTGCCTCTTGTTTTTCAATGACTGCTAAAAAATGATACCGGTTCACGACAAGACCAGACTTTATTATCTGGATTGAAGATGACCTCTTATGAGTAAGTACCACCAGTGTTATAGATACCCAACACAAGTTCGAGTACTGTTCCACCCATTGAAGAGTGAACTATCCATCAAGTAGAAACATAAATCTAACTTCAAAAACACACGAAACTGGACTTGTTTACTGAAAATGTTTTGAAAAAGTACATTTAGAAAAGACTTACTATCCTTGGTTCTTCACAATAATCCGTTATATATGATTGACAAGCAGTCTGAACCTGTATCAATTCTTGTTCAGAAGATAGACCTGCAGAACTTGCCAACCGATGAACAAGTTGAGGAATAATAAATGTACGAAGGTATATCTAAAAGTTGAGAAAAGAAATCAATAATTCAAGTGTTGGTTTGCAGGGAACTGGGGTGGGGGTGGGTAGTAAAGTGACATCGGTTATACAATCATTGGAGCTCTATGAGCTTCGTCTCATAGCCGGAAGGTCCTGGAGTCAAACCCTGACAACGGATACAAACTGATGGAGTGCTCCAAACTAGGACGAAACAGCTGTCCAGTACTCCCAGGTTTACAAATCGTTCTCTAATCGATATCAGCTCATGATGAAATCCCGTAAATAAATAATTGTAGTGATTATAAAACAGTTATATGAGGAAGTAATTACACTATAAGTATTCATAACGAAAAGAATATGCCGCTAAGAGAGGATGAAGTAAAATCAGGTAGAGAGCCATTGAAAACCAACGACTACTGGGTAATTGTTTCCTCCTGGTTAAGAATCCGCAAACAATGCGCACCTATGAGCCCTACTGGGGATCAAGCCCAAGGCCTTCACGTTACAAGAAGAGCCCATTAACTATTCAATAACTGCAATGGAATTTCGTCGCCCATGAATTCTGATATCTATCAATTCGCCACATACATGTAGCACAACCGGCAGCCAGTTTTAATCAAATTCTTGCAAACCAAAGTGTACGAAAAGTAACAATTGATATTAGACAGTTGTAGGCAATCCGCAGGAAGCTTTAGACTTAGGTTTCGTGCTAGTCAGAACTCGTCAATGGGGCGTATCTGTCGAATTCTCAGTTTGCACTAAACAAAGGACTAGACACATTATACTAGTTACTAACTAGTATCCAATCAAAGTATCGAACACAATCTCACAGGAGGTCAATTGTGAGCCCGAGCACCTAAGTGGTAACGCCTCTGACTGCTGGTAGCACTGAGTGACACGGGTTCAAATCTCAGAAGGGATATGAGTCCTTTCAAGGCTGCAGATACACCTTGTCAACGAGTGCCAACTAGCACGAAACCACCCCATCGCTTCCAACCATCTAATATCAACAGTGCACCGTGATGGCGAGCCACCTAGCATAGTGGCCACATTGCAAACTTGACTGATAGAATTCAGTCTGTACCAAACAAAAGACTAGACACATTATACTGGTTACTAACTAGCGTCCAATAAAAATAAGAATAACAGTGTCTGATAAATATTTGATCGATGAACAGTTAGCTATATGGAATTAATTGATAACAAAATAGGAGAACAAATAAACTAAGGTGGATCACACACACAAAAATAATTACATAGTTGCTTTATTATACGAAAAATGGAGAAAAATTAAGCTGACACTAAGGTTGTGGTGGTAGTGTAAATCAGGCTGGATAAAATGTTTTTGTTTTGCTGAGGGAAAACACCAAACAAACAAATAAACAAACAAACAAGGCAACAAACACTGACAACTTACATTACTGCTACCAAGTTGATAAGTCTCCGGAGCATAATGCAATGAATTCAAAATTTCACTAGCCACCTTGTTTACAAAAATAAAAGAGATACATATAAACAACATATATGAGGTAAAAAAACAAACAACAACACATCAATAATTATCTAAAGAAATTTGACAAACTACCTAATTATACTATAAGTAGTCATTATAATAAATTCTAGCAACAACACAATAACTATGATAAAAGGTCAGAGTAAGAGAATTCACAATGGGATGTTATATAAGTAATACGGTAAGGTGGGTAAGTCAGTCGATGAGGTTGTGCAGTTACATTGATTGAGACACCTAGGACATGTGTTACGCCTGCTGAGCTATCTATCGCCTTTCTCGATGGGCAATGTTAGCAGGCATACGATCAGGTTGGAAAAGAGTTTAGATTGGTCAAATCACCAAAACCTGGTATCGATCCATGAATTCTCTGAAAGTTGGCTTTTTCCAAGAAGGTGTAGGTTAGGGTTTACAAGATGATAAGAATCAATGCCTTGAAACTGCTGGCGATGATATGGTACAAAATGCTCCATAATGGAGAAGATGCACTAAAAAGGTCATGTTTTTCTATGTTGCTATTCATTGTCCCTAACATTTCTACTCATCATAATTCTGCCGAATCTCTTTTCTCTCTATTTTCATTATCTTTGTGTGCTGTATTGAGTACAGTAACTTGAACTGCTGCACCTCTGTGCAAAAACTTCTACACTGAAACTCAGCCTGCTTTCAGATTTTGCCAAGATTTAATAATGAACTAAGGAAGTAGTGAAAAATCGAATGCTGAACAGCTATTTCATATTATGTTCATGACCTCTATTATTATTGTTATATTATTGTTCCCTTGGATTCCAAGTGGAACATCCAACAGAACATCTGTGTTCTGTCCTGTTCTCTATAATCAACTTAAGCTGACCGTACATAGTCCCTCATCTCCTCCTCCTCACAGTGATCTCCTTCATGTAATCCTCGGACACAATGCCTAATTTGTCATTTCCCAATCAGGTTCCAGTCAAGCGATGGCCTACTGCACGATGTTACACAATGGTCTCCTCAGCGAGTAGCCAATATCTATCTTTACTTTCGTCAGAATATTTGTTAAGCAACAGCTTCTTGTTTGGTTCGTTCCACTACCACAGTTTTTTGTTGCTAATTCCTTCTGGCTGGCCATTTGATTTTCGATTTGGAGCCAGAGAAGGCAGTTGTTGATAAAGGCACATTTGTCAGGAAAGGCATTTTCAACAGGCTAATGCAGACAGACTTTCATCGACAGTTGTGTTCGCTGGCTCCATATTTCAGACCAGATGGTTGAGTAGGAAGGATTAGCTCCATGGGGGAACTCTGGAATCGAACCAACCAAGAAACTATTGCCTAACAAATATGCAGAAGGAAATGGAGATAGACTGGACACATGCTGAGGAGACAGTTGGGTGACATAAAACGTCAAGTCGTTTAGTGAAACCCGACACGGGAACGGCGAGTTGGGCGCATGTCCGAGAGCGACATGGAAGAGATCGTGTGAGAAGCAGATGACAGCTTATGGTCAATCGTGGAGCTAGCCAAAGAGGACTGCAGAGAAGAGGATAAAGTGGAGATATGGGGTTGAAGTCCTATGTTCCACTTGGAACCCAAGGGAATTATAATACAGACGAAGAGAATTCACTGGATCACTTTTATTATTATTATTGTTTCCTTTAATTCATAGAGAAACATAGGGCTTCAGCCAAACGTCTCCATTGCGTTCGAATCTCTGCTAGAGTCTTCACCTGGCTCCAAGTCTGCCCACATGCTTTCATCTCCTCTTCACATGACCTCCTCCAAGTCACCCTTGCACTGACGACCAACTCAACGCTTCCTTTTCGGATTCCACTCGAGCAATGGCTTGTCTAGTGATGTCACTTGATGGTTTCCTCACAGTGTGGCCAATCCATCTCCATTTCTTCCTGCCTATTTGTTTCACAATCGGTTCCTGATTGGTTCGCTCATTGCCAGAGATCTCTGTTGCTGATCTTTTCTAGCCATCTGATCTTGAGGATTGAGCGAAGACAACTGTTAATGAAGGTCTGTAGTTTGTTTGAGATGCTCTTTATGACGCGCCAAGTCTCACTTTCATCATAGAATTCTTTTATTTGATGAAAAAACACATAGCGACACAGTATTATTATGAGTAAATAATAATGGATCATAGTGTGTTTTATATCGAATAAAATTATCCTATGATGGAACTTTACACTAAACCAGTGTTCAGGTTCAATACCTAGATCAAGGGATCACGTTGTATGAGTCACTTAACTTAGTTAGCATAACAAGATGCATGGGAAATAGATGAAAACAATAACCTGTTAATTCAAACTGGTTTACGAATTATTTGTCCTACATTCCGCTATACTCCTCAGTGAGATTCCTTTACTAAATCAGCATATTAACTGTGAAAATGAAACATTTTAGTTCGATACTCAACTTTAGATTTAACAAATTTATCTGCTACTAACAAATTGTAAGTAGTTTGCAGCTCCAGCTGGAAAATGTACTGAAATCACAACAGTTAGAGTGGAAACAAATCGAAATCAGCCTCTAAAGTCTCATAATTAAACCATCCATCCATATCCGAGAAAATAACAACACTCATTCGGCAAGCAGTTTTGAGAACCTTAACGATTAGAGTATTCAAAATGTACTCCATGCGTGTCAATTTTTCAATGTTAGAATGCAAGCCAACTCTACGCCAATAGGTCTGGGTTCGATTCCCTGCCGAAACACTCTTAAACCTCGCAGACATCTTGCCTAGCCAGAAGTAAATCCATTGAAGAGCGAAGAGTAGGTGTGAGGCTAGCAACTCCCCTTGGTAGAGAAACTACCACTACTACTGGAAATTCAAAGTTCAGACGTGAAGACCCATTTCCCACTCAGGATGGGGAAAGGAGCAAAAACAACCTATGAGCACCAAGTAATGCACCACACAAGTGAAATTATTGTCTCATACTTTGCGTGAGGGCTGGGATACTATAGAGATGCCCAAACAGAAGCAGGTGGTTGTCATAAAGGACCACTCTCCGAGCTTTTCACTTGAAGTCTAATCCACAAGGCAATGGATCAGCGTCAGGAGCTGCGATCCTATGGTTCCCACTGACTGAAAAGCTGGCTCCGTAGGTCATTCGATCCATTTAGATTCTGGAGAGTATACACGCCACTGGTTCAGAATCAGGATTTTCCAACTCCCTCAGATAGACTGGAGTGTCCACCAGTCCTTTCACTTTACTCAGGAACACCACACCCCACCAGGTAAAGGCAGTGAATAGAACTTATCTAGCAGAAGCTATGGACTCATGGCCATATGTGAAAACATTTCAAGAGGAAGACCGAAGTCTACTCCACTCTACCTCCGCGTCAGTCATACCTGATGGTCGTTTATGAAACTCAATGAATATTTCGCCTACTAAATAGCCACATTGCTTCCATCCCAATCACATTTAGTAGCAAGTGGGAATTTCGAATGGTACTCACAACTTTGTAGTATTGATTTCATGATGGAAAATCTAGATGACTCTAGAGTATAAACTCCATTTCAACTATCAATATTATTAGCTATGCATTATTATCTGGTCTTTATCATTTTATGTTTAGTTTTACAATACAAACTTAGAATGTAGAATCATGAAACAACAATGATGAAAATGCAAGATACAGATTATCTATTCGATCGACAGGACTTAACTAAACTGAATAATGAATGCGAGATGATTTCTGATTGACACAGAGTATTGTCTGTTAACAAGACTATACTCTACAACTGGAAAATGTTCCTCCAAATAAGCTTTGTTTATTGATATCAAAAGATAACAAATGATGAACATAGAATACAAATAGGTTTGTCGTTTTCCCTTCTCATAATCGATAAAAAAACAGTTTTACACGAAAACGTTTAACCTGGATAATATATATATATATATATATTTGAAGAAACAGTAATAAATAGTCGAAGCGACAAGAACATGATTTGCAGTATACAATATGCACATTGTTATTTTGAAGTGAGGCTCCTTATCAGTTGCAGAGAACGAACAAAAATGTCCGACAGAGAGAGAGAGGATAATTACACGGATAGTTATGAGAACTTAATGAATCCAGAAGGCCACAAAGTGTTAATGCATCTGCACCATTCAGAAGGATTTTGAGCCATTGGTTCTTAGCACCTCAAGGACTTCAGTCAGGTAGTTCGAAGCTCCCTAAGTGGCTTAAACCAACATTTAAAGAATTCATGAATTGATACCATGTTTCGGTCTTAGCATCTAGACTGTTTTCCAACCCAATCCTATGCCAGTGAAATATTGATCGCTGAGGAGTTTTATGTCTGAGTAGGAGCAACGAATATCGTAGCTGTCTCTATAGGTGAAGATTCACAACACCGGTATTGAGTCCCGTATTGATTTTCTACCACTTACTAGAGCTGCACGACGGACTCGATGTGTTACAAATTATGATACCAATTGACTGTCAAAAATGAAGCAGGTAAAATGGCGTTTAAATGTCAGATCAAGCGGTTAAAAGTCCAGCTTGAAAGTTACCTCAAAATGTGTTAGTGGTGGGACATTTAATGTTTATTATTATTCCGTTGTATTTCAAGCGGAACATAGAACTTCAGCATCACATCTAGATTTCACCTTGTTTTCTTCCGTCTTTGCTAAATGGCTCAATAATTGCCTATAAGTTTTCACCTCCTCAAAAGATGATCTCCATGTCACCAACTCTTCATTTCCGTTAGGGTTCCGCTTGATGACCTGACGCGTGATGTCACTTAATGGTGTCTTCAGCGTTTGTCCACTTCATTTGTATTTCCTTTCGCATATTTTTCGAGCGACAGTTTTTTTGGTTGGTTCGTTGCACTGCACGACTTCAGCTGTTGCTTATCTTCTCTCACTAACCACCACCAGCTAGTGTCTTCAGTATCAAGCAAAGACAACTGTGAATGAAAGTCTGTAGACTGTTGAAAATGCTTCTAGTGACACGTCAACTCTAGAGACCACATATAGAAGAATTATTTTGACATTAATGTTGGAAACCCGAATTTTATTCCATGTACTTGAGTGCATCAGATTCTCAGACTGATTTCAAAGCCTATTCTACCAATATGTCAGGTTTTCACGGCATTGTACCTTCGAGTTTGTGTAAGATTCAACATAAATGATTCGAGAAGTCAAGATCTTCTAGAGTTTTCTTGCCCACCCACCCCCCTATGGTCATTTACATGATGCCTTCCAACACAATTAAGAATAGTAGGCAGCTTTGTCTTACCTCAGTATTGACTTTAAAAACGTTGCTGAGCTTTCTATTGTGAATCACTTAACATGAGGTATCATCATATAGATGTTGAATGAGGTTTGAAGTATTCTGTTGTGTGAAAGCAGTTTCCAAATTACTTTACAGTCAACTGCATTGAAGGCCTTTTCATCATCAAAGTTGACGATGAAATTGACGCAGAGAGTTGACTAGCATTCTATGCTCTCTCTATTCAATGACCATGCGTAGCACTCTGCATTTAATGTTTACAGCTAAACAATATAATCATTATAATAAAGGTTTTTGTATTTCCCAATGAATGAAAAAACAAAACGATTTTGTCGTTTTTACTGACGTTTCGCTATTTAATGCTACTGCTAATAGCTTTATCAAAGTATTATTAAACCGGAATTTACAAAATCTCAGCGTATATATAAAACAGTGAGTTAAGAGGTGAAAAAATAGACTTAGGTCAAGTTAAAGGGACAAATTTGAAGTCAAAATACCAATGAAGATCACTAAACCAAATAACAAAGGTAATAGTATATCTGTTATGGCATCGAAATAAAGTTTACTAACTTGATCATCGTTCGTCAATCTGGGGTCATTTTTCGTTGTCGAGTTAGCCAATTGGTGAAGATAACAAAACCACGTGTAGATTGTTGGATTTGATCAGTGTGTAAAATTATAAAAGCAGTGTGTGTTTACACAGTGAACTTGCATATCACATTCGTGTTGATTTTGACACTTTATGGAGGATGGGTTGTTGTTGTAACCAGGTCAAATTCTGTTTTAGTCCATCATTCCTATTCAGACAATTTGGATTCAATTTGATATGAAGTGCTTCTGATATTAGACGTTCTTTGTGATTTCAAAAGTTTTTCTGGATCATTTCAATATTGTCAAATTGTCTGAATAGGAATGATGGATTAAAACAGAATCTGACCTGGTTACAACACCTCCCTCCCCCATGAAGTGACAAAATCAACACGAATGTGATAAACAAGTTCACTGTGTAAACACACACTGCTTTTATAATTTTACACACTGATCAAATCCAACAAGCTATACGTGGTTTTGTTATCTTTACCAATTGACCAGCTTGACAACGAAAAATGACCCCAGACTAACGAACGATGATCAAGTTAGTAAACTTTGTTTCGATGCCATAACAGATATACTATTACCTTTGTTATTTGGTTTAGTGATCTTCATTGGTATTTTAACTTCAAATTTGTCCCCTTAACTTGACCTAAGTCTATTTTTTCACCTCTTAACTCACTGTTTTATATATACGCTGAGATTTTGTAAATTCCGGTTTTATAATACTTTGATAAAGCTATTAGCAGTAGCATTAAATAGCGAAACGTCAGTAAAAACGACAAAATCGTTTTGTTTTTCATTCATTCATTGGGAAATACAAGAAAACCTTTATTATGATGAATATCATATACCCAATGCCCAAATTTTTTCAAACTGTTAAAAGTGAACTTTGGTTTGGACATATATAAAACAATATAATCATTGAAATTTGTAAAAACAAAAAAGTTAAAGATGAAAAAATATATATAACTTACAACTCTATCCAATGAACCATGATACTCTGTTTCATTTAACTTTGAATCAACAGGCAATAAAGAGATGAAACGATTACGAAATTCTTTCAGTGATAAACGATCAGGATAGCTTAATTTAACCGATTGCAGGGTACTGATTAATTCTATTCCACGAATTTGTGAGCGAATTAGATTCACACAGATACGTGCTGGACTAAATACTAAATTTTTATTTGGATAACGTTTCATTAATTCATGTAAATATGAAGTTGATTTATTACTATGATGATTCATTTCATTGAGCATATGATTACTATCCGCATGATTATCACTGTTGTTATTATTATTATGAGTAGTATTCGTAGTAGTGGTAGTAGTAGTAGTATAGTCTTCAGAGGAGGAATTCTTTTGAATTAACTGATCAATTGGAATCTCTTCATTCAATTGACATAGACCAGCTGTTGATACTGGTAAGAAACAATGAATCCAATGCATACCACTCGGTGGGCCACCATCATTAAACCCGGATCCAGGATCATTAGGATTATATGAAGCATTATGAGCAGCACAATCATACAGAGAACGAATCAGGGTATCCTGGAAAAAAAGAGAAGAGGAGGACAGGTGTAAAACAATCAACTTTATTCTTAAAATGACTGACTAAGGAATTTGAATATATATTCACGATTCCTTGACGGAGATGAGTAGTTTCATAAAGAAACATATGAAAATATCGGAGAAAAAACCGGAGAGAGACTCTGACTGCACCTAAGAAACCTCTATTTATTAAGTTACAATTTAATGGTGACTTATCAAGTGAGATTCTATTCCAAAGACTTTCAAGAAGTATACGAAGAACATTTTATGCAGCACACCTATGTTTGTCATTCTCTAGCCGACGAATGATTGGGACGCAAACGAAGGATAAGCGAGATAGTTTTGCCACACATCTATGTGCATTTATCAATTCAATTGCACCTGCGGTGACAGTTATAGTTAGCCTTACTACTAGACAGCTTAGCCAGCGTGTTCGTGAACATCTCCCATCGTGGTTTGGCAAAGGACAGACGAAAACAATCCGTAGCTCAATTTTGTCACATCTAATTGATAGTGGTCATGTAATCGAGAAAACGAGAGCCTTCAAAGTAATTCATTGTATCCCACTGAATCTTTCCGATAGACTTCGTATTCGTTTACTGCACACATCTGAGACAGGCATTCGAACTATTAAACCTAAACTATGCATTCAAAAGAAGTTCGTATAGCCATTATCCCTCCCTTGCTGGCCTATTAAGACATAACCAACTAATCACTTCTACACCACCCTTTGTTTATATTTTCAACCCCTTTCTTATCATCCCTTAATCTTATCACATCTTCATTATAAACGTGTTCCATTTACTTCCCTTACAACCTAGCATTACTTAATCGGTTCATTTGTTTTTACTAGCCTTTATCGACTACTATGTCTACCTGAACATTTGTTTGTTTAATCATGCTGTTTTTCATTATTCGTGTTATCGCAGATTGCCTCACTTTTTCATCCTTATTATTGATAAGATCATTTTTACTATTACTATTATTATTATTATCATCACTACTATTATGACTAATTGCACAATTCATATTCACCATCTTATTATCATCCGATAGACAAAACACCATGATTGGTTTAGATTTGAATTTTTATTTGTAAACTTATGTATATTAGAGTTAAGCCTGATGAGATCTAATTGACAGCACACTATTGTTTGCTTAAATATGTTGTTCTAAATTTGACTAAGTTTTAACATAGAACTTTGCATAGAAGTCAAGCAGTCCAAAGTCGTCAAAAAAGGGATTCGAAAGAATTATGATGAGGAGAAATTTACAGAGGATTTAATGGATACAAGAGAGATCCAACCATTAGTGCTTAGCATCCTGAGGTATATATAGTTCAGTGACAGAACATCTGGTCAATTCAGGATGTTCAGCGCCATTCGAAAAATCATTCAAAATAATTAATATACAAGATTCGATCAAACCTATCAAAGGGAGTAAAATTAAGACATCAGGGCATAGGCAGTGCACTAGCTATCCACTATCTAAATCATACGAGCACTAGCTATCCAAAAAGCTCAAACCCTTATCCCTGCCGTGGCCATCATAAACAGGTAATTCTTTAAGTAATGACCATCCCATTGCCTTTCTTATCCAAACTTCTTGTTTATTCATGTTATTTTAAGTTTTTCTTAATCCCTATTTACACTACCACACTTTCATATCCGAACTTCATGTCTATTTTGTCATTTTATTATTTCTACATATTTATTCCCTAACTGGATAAACAATTATTCGTCACATTAGTTATGATCCCACTAGATTTTTTATCCAACCATCCTGTCTATTTGTGTTATTTCTACATTTCTAACCCCCAATTGCACAATCAATGTCAATCTTCTCTGTAATTATGATGCTACTTTGCTTGAGTTTTATCTGCCCACCTGTTTATTATGGCATTCTAATTCCTAATTGTAATTTTATTAGTTTGACCCTTGATCGGAAATTATTCTGGAATTTTCCCACCCTTTTTATCATAAATACACGAATGTACAGCCTAGTTGATGACTTCGTCGAAAAGAAAATTATCTTCGCTACATCTATCCAATGTGCATATTCCGTGATCCTGAAGACCCCAACCAAACAGTCTATGCCTTCCTATGTGACTCGTGCTTAAACCAATAGTTAGAGACTTCATGGATCGATGTAAGGTTTTGGTTTGACTGCCCTCTTCGTAACACCTTTCCAACCTAATCCTATATCATCTAATATTGCTCGTCAACGAAAACGGTAGATTAACATGCACACCACGTGCCGTAGCCCATTTTTATTGGTGCAGCTTCACAGCTTCATCGATCGGTTTACCCTTCTTATACCTAGCACTCTACACCTAATACAAGTATTGCTCACCATATTATACCAGTTAACAAGTAAGATGGAACGTAAATATACGTGGTCAAAGATAGCGAATTTTTTCATATTGTCCACTTTCAAGAGCTATGTCTCACAGTGGTGGTCAAATCAAAACGTGACCTCATCGGTCAATGAAATCAACAACAGTTAGTTTAAGCCACGTAAAAAGGTGTACACTTCCTGGTTGGGGTCCTCGGGACGGCAAAAAACCAATGACAGCTGGACACAAATGGTGATATGGCTCAAAATTGTTCTCAATGATGGCACAGATACATTCACTCTCTGTGATTTATAATATCTAATAAAGTTGTATTGTTCTCCATATTACTATTGTTTCTGTCTCATATTTCTGTTTATTATCTCTATTTTGAATCTGTCTTTACTCTCTTCTCTTGCTTGGAGTGCTACATAGAGCGTGGCGACTCGAAATACTGCACATCTGTGCAAAGTTCTACGTTGAAACTAGTCGGTCGGTCAGTCATAAAGGAGGACAGAACGAACTTCTGTTGATTCTTTTAAATGCAACCAAAAATAAAGCTATATTTGTGGTTCAACATGCACATATATGAAGGTGACTGTTCCACCTTCAAGTCTCTTTTGATTTGATATACATAGTTGTGAGTTCACTGTGACCATAAATGTTATGTCGGTGTTGAACAGAATGTTAGGAAGCAGTACACTATTTGATTAAATCAAGTGTTACTTGGGTTTTAAGCATAACAATGAAAGATTATTTAAAAATATTCATTACTCAACTACCATGCTAGTATGAAATGAAAGAGTTTCATGCCGCTGTGGAGAAGTAATAACGTGTGACTAATAAATTTTCCTGGGAAAAGAAATCCAAGTAACAAAGATAAGCAATTGAAAAACGTGAACAGATCACTCATTCATTCATTTAAGCCGTATGATGCTTTACTAAGTGAAACATTGCAAAACCCACTCAGACAATATGCTAAATACTGAGGGTATAATGTTCACAGAATATATCGATCCCAAAGGTTATTTGTATTATTTCAAGGAGGTTATTGTACAAATTTCTTATTTTGTTATCATCTATTTTATACCATTGAGTTCCCAGTGGAAGATAGGTTTTTCTTAGCAGCAGTGTTATTTTTGTTACGGGAAGAGGTCGCTAAACTAACGTCCAGCCTTCCCTCTTTCCTAGTCTTGTTACAGACTAAACGGGGTTTAGGAATGCGTCAGCCGGCAATCGAACCCTGGACCACGTGCATGGATGGTGAGTATCCTATCACTGAACCACCGATGCACATTGTTCACATACTAGCCACTGAAAGACATCCAAGAGTAACACGCTGTGACTTAACACATTCGAAGGTGAAACTCAAAGAGAACTATACATAAATCATCGAGTAAAAAATGTGTCCATTTCATGTCTTAAAGAATAACAACATTTCCCATTTATTCACAACACCAAGGGCGGACATAAACATACTATTTGAAATCATAAGCTTATAGGAACTGCCAAAATGCGTGAAATAAAATAGTACAAAATGGAAAGCATAAGAGAGACAGTTAAAGTGAAATAATATAATGAATAGACAAGCTCTTTCATAAAACACCATTTGATGTCTTCAGACGAGCTCTTCAATTATTATTTCTAAAAACTGAATACATATTTAATTTCATGTTTGATCATGGATTGACATCAGTTAGAGAAACATTGAAAATCAGAGAGTATTAGATGGCTGCTTCGTCCGAGTTTGAGGCTCTCCAGCAGTACACACTCATGATCATACCGAGGGTCGAACACAAGACCTCGTCGATGAAACTGACTGGCAGCCACATTAAAACTGCGAACTGGCAGAAGTTAGAAGTCATGGGCCAATGGATTGAATCCAAGAGGCTAAATGGTCAACAAGCTCACCTCGAACCCTGTAGCTTCTCCGTTCAGTTTTCAGTGGTGCCATGGGTGAGTACTGATGAAGATTTCAGATGTACTTTTCTGATAGTGCCAACAAGCACGAAACCTAGGTCCAGGACTCCTTACCGATTGCCTTTAGGCATTTAAATTAAATTCAGTTTGAACCACAATGGAGAATCACCTAACTTGGTAACCACATTGTAAAAATGACTCAGAGAATTTAGTCCGCACCAAAGCAAAGGATTAGACGCATGACATGTATGTGTAAATAGCTTTATTCTAAACCCTACGTTTATATACAGTATAGAATTTTCAACCTGATTTTATCTACTATTTTAACAGAATCTTCAAGTAAAGCAGTAAACTATAGTATATCATTCGACAGAATTAGGTTCTACCTGCAACAAGCTTCGACCTCCTGGCATATTTGTCCCATTGAAAACCAACCAAACAGTGTGTTTAAGACCACTCAACAATGCATGTTAGTACGAACTAACTTTCAAGAATGTGAATATATATGCTTAAAATATCATATAACTGAGGAAATTTACAAAAATACTAGGTGGCCTATAATGATTTGAGCAAGCAGCTGACGCTTACTTTTATTACAACAGAATTACTTTCAAGAGTGAACTTGCAGGAATGTGATTTGTTTCAAATTTAACTACGGATTGATATCAGTTAGAGAACCATTGAAACCAACCACAGGAAGTTCTGGACGACTGTTTTTTTCCTACTTCGGGACTCATAGGCAATACGTACCTACCGGAGTTCGAACCCAAGACCTTCCACAGTTTTAGTGGGAAGTTGTAACTAGTGGGTTCCGCCCGGTCGATAATGAGAATAAATATTCGCCGATGGTGGTTGCACTAAAATCACGAACTGGTAGAAGTTAGCATTCATGGGCTGGCTATTGAGTCAGGGCCCAGTGATTGGATGGTCTACGAGCTCACTTTGTAAGTGGAAGGTCCTGGATCCAATCCCTGTTGGAGTCGCAGGTGCGTGGTGCTGATGAGCCCAAAACTAAGATGAAACAGTTCTCTAATTGATATCAGTCCGTGGTCAAACCTGAAACAGCATTATTTAGCAAAAATATGTTTGCTGTTAGAACTAGATATCAGACTATGAGTCACATGTGAGAGCTGATGGTACTACCCACTAGTATCTCAGGTTGAAATACACTATGTGGGATTCGAACTCGGTACCTATTAGCTGAGAGTCGAGTGTAAAAGCTAATGAGTATAATCCCCATGAATCAATAAAAATATGAGTACAAACTAGTACTTGTTAAGAAAGATATTTAGGAGAAAGCCAATTACAAGAGTATAACATCAATGCATACAACAAGCGTAACGGTAGATAAACTCACCATGGTTGATTTCACATCTGAACAAACACCAATATGACTTCGATTCGATGGTATGAAAGAGCTTAAATAATCCTCTTTACAATCTAACATACTGACAAGATTACGCAGAGATGCACTAGGTGGAATGATCGAAAAAAAACAACAAAGAAGATATAAAACCGAGTGATAATCAAAAGATAGACGAACAGAAAGATAGTCGTTAAATACACAAATTTACACAACAAAATGGACGAATCCAATCATAATCACTGGAGCATCAGCTTCACTGGCATGGCGTCTAAAATCCTACAGCCTATAATCATACTAAGCAAGACTAAGTACATCTCAGAAGGAAATCAGGCGGGCTTCATGCCCTCACAAAGTCGTATTGATTAAAAGCTTTAGATTTAAATAAGTTTCCGGAGACACGCACACAAGCTCCATTGCATTCTAAGCTTGGAATATGTCTTTAAATGATGGTGGAATTTGTCTACATTGGAATGAAAGGTGTGTTGTGCGAATATTTAAGGTTTGAAGCAGGTGTCAAGAAAGTCCAGTATACTAATCATACTACTGTTTTATCCGAACTTCATGTAAACGTTTGACAACTTAAAGAAAACTTGAAGACCTATGATATTTTTCTCCAGCTTCATGTCATGTGTAAGAACAAAGAATAAAGTGACATAATACATTAACCAATCTACTTATTTAATAAGCTTTGATGAAATCTCAGTAATTTTATATCAGAGAAGCTTATTTGATTTAACACACAGTGATGCAGTATTAATAACTGAGTCCAGCTATTAATACTGCATCCTGTCTGTCCATTTTCCTCGAGCTTACTGTCGGTCTACAAGTGGATCAGTCGGGAATCGGACACGGACTGGCAAGTATTCTACTATCGAACCACTGACGTGTGAAGGCCACCGAGATTGTTTATGAAAAGCATACAGCTTTCTGATCACATTCACATACCTTATAAGTCTTATTAGTCTAAACTGATGCTATTTATAGTATATTCGACTACACAATTCAACATACAACCAGTAGTTCACGAGTTTAAATCCCGCTCCGTCTACCAATGGCTGGGCAACCAGGCGTATGACTCATTTTCAAAAGTTAGTCTGTAGAGATTGGATTTGTTTCAAGTTAGAGGACTAGTGAAAACTATGGAGCACTGGACAGTTGTTTTTCCCCCCAGTTTGGGACTCTTCGGCGGTACAAAACCATTATCCCAATGGGAATCAAACCCAAAACCTTCAAGGTAAGATGTGAGCCCATTGACCATTCAGCCACCGGACTGAATCCAATGGCCCAATAATTCGACCTCCTATCAATTCGTGATATATATAGCTTCACCATTAGTCAATGTCATCGGAGAGTATTTGTCCTCACACCCAACCCGAAGGATCCCCCGCTGGTCACGACTTCTCACCAGAACTCCAGTCAAAGTTATCCTGAACAATAGATTAATTTTCAAGGGTTATTCACAGTAGGAGGTTGGCTTATTTCAAGTTTGATATCAATCAGAGAAGAATCAAAAGTCTCCAGGGAGGACTGGACGGCTGTTTCGTCGTCTTAGTTTGTGACTCTTCAGTAAAACATATATCATGACTTATTTATTATGCGATTGTTGAGTAATGTTTCACTTCACCTGATAAATCAGTCGACTGACTGACTGCAATATAAAAATTATGGTTTGCATTACACAACATAACAGCTAACCCCCCTTATTCATTCATAATGGCAGTGAAGGCGATATATGTTTGCATCGTGAAATCGATATTCACACAAAAAATAGAACGAGAAAAATTACTGAGTAAGTATGCTGCATTTCCTCAACTCTCTGATTTATAGTTTATGCTTTTATCACTCGCACACACACACACACAAACAAACACAGAGAACACTACTTAAATATTATTATTTGATGAAAAGCAAAGCCTCCAATATAGGAGAGTCATAAAAATTGTTAGCAAGGTATGCGAAGAATAAATGCATACACATGTATACAATGTAGACAGGCACAGAAATCGACGGCTGATTTTCTAAACTGTAGATTACATAACAAGTAAGTTAGATCAATGCAATGAATCATGCATAAAAAGTGTATTTGTATCCCCTTGTTGGAACGCCGAAATCCTTTAAGGATTATTATTATTATTGTTCCCTTGGGTTAGCAGTGGAACATAGCGCTTCAACTGCACGTCTCCACTTGCTGCTTCTGTCTTCTGCTGTAATTTTCACCTGCATCCACGTTAGTCCATACTGTTCCAACTCCTCTTCACACAATCTCCTCCATGTCACCCTTGCACTGACGTCCCACTCGCCGCTTCCCTTTCGGGTTCCACTCGAGCGATGGCCTGACGCACGATGTCACCCAGCGGCCTCCTCCTCAGCGAGTGTCCAATCCATCTGCACTTTCCCCTGCATATTTGTTGAGCGATTCGTTCTTGTTTTGTTTCTTCCCATAGTTTCTTGTTGGTGATTCTTTCCGGTCATCTGACCTTCAGTATAGAACGAAGACAGCTGTTGATAAAGGTCTGCAACAGGCTGTTGGAAATATTCTTTGTGACCCACCAAGTTTCTGATCCGTATAGAAGAACTGACTGACTTGACGTTTGTATTGAAAATCCGAATTTTGTTGTTGATACTGGCTGAGTGATGAAGATTTCCAGATTGGTTTCAGGTTGATGTGTTTCTCGCCTTCCCGATTCTCGATTTCACATCCTCGTCCATTCCTCCCTAGATAAATGAATGAAGTAACCTCTTTCAAATCCCACTCGTTGATGGTGATTGGCACTGGATGTTGCTTCTGTTGTTGTTGTTGGTTGGTTATTTTCATAACCTCCGTCTTGTCTATGTTCACCTGGAGTCCTGTCTTTGCAGCTTCTTCGACCAGTTTGTCGGTTTTCGCTTGTAAGTCTTCGATTTTGTGTGACATCAAACATAAATCATCCACGCGCGAAATCCAGGTCTTCTAGATTCTTGCTTGTTTAAACTCCACTACTTGGAACAGATTTTTCATGTACCAGGCTAAGAGCCATACACTCATTGTGTGAGGGCTAATAACACTGTCATCCAGTTGCCCTCAGGTTGAATTAGGCGGAGAAAGACTTGAACTTGTGACCCATCCACCGGCTGAAAACACCAGGCGCTTAAGTCAATAAGCCATGACTGATAATAATTCAGGCTTTGAGCGCCGAATAACTTCCGAAGTAACTCATGAACATTTACTTTAGATCGATATTTATCGATGACGCTGACGAAGTGACGAGTAAGCCGGGTAAAATGATACTGATGGGTTGATGTGGTGTTCTACTTTAGTATCGGACCTAAGAATTCCTATAAAGTTAATAAATTCACAGAAACTATCAAGTCCGCAAAATCATAAGGTGCTGACAAGATAGAATCATTGAATGAAAATGATCTTTGTTGAATTACCAGCTGAACTAATTTGATCGAAGTCATACATGAAAGCCAACAATATTTTTAAAAAAATATCAGGAAATTTTCTTAAGTTACTTTGTATTTCCCATTGATATTTACTGAGGCCGAAATACTCTATCACCGTTGACATGCCAGTGCCTCCTAAAGGACGCTTCGACGAAGTTTGAAGGCTTTTTTTATTCCCTTGAGTTCCCAGTGGAACATAGGACTTCAAACTAGGAATGCTGAAGTTTCAGCAGCAGTGGTCGTAGTTTTACGGGGTGGGACTGATAGTCTGATGCCCAACCTTCTCTCGTCACCAGGCTTATTATCAGCTAAGCGAGGTTTGGGAGTGCGTCTGTTGCCGGGGATCGAACACCAGACCACATGTGTGGCTGGCGAGCATTCTACCTCTGCGCCACCGAGGCAGAAGGCAGGTTAATATATAATCATATTTGATTGATGGTGGCTAGCTGTGGAATACAGGAGGCACGCTTCAACTAGTCTTGAACTTTTAGATAGATGAGTCTAGATCTCCCGACGATGAGTTATAGTTTCCGCCACTGAGATTTGAAACCAGAATGCATCATTTTAAAAGCCTAAGCACTGACAGACAGACGGAACAACACTAACTAGGAATGCAGCAGGCACATCTAGCCAACGATTCCGAGATAAGTCAAAATGCGTAACCTGAATTCCATTGCTACCCAACCATCAACCAAAAAACGACGTTAACATTCACAATTAAAATTCCAATATTTTAGTATTTTCAAGTATTGATTTGTAGGGATTTGATTGGTTACAGGATTTCATCATGAGCTAGCATTGGTTAGAGAACCACTGGAAAACCTGGGAGTACTGGACAGCTGTTTCGTCAATCTAGTTTGAGACTCTTCATCAGCACGCACCCACCGGGGTTCGAACCCAGGACCTTCTGGTTACAGGGCGAGCTTGTAGACCATTAAGCCACTGTGACCCGATCCAATGGCCCACGATTTCAAACTTCTGGCTAGGGGTCGCGCTATTTCATGAATTGGCAGAAATTAGAATTTATGGGCCTTTGGAGTGGGTCCCAGTGGCTTAATGGTCTACAAGCTCGCCTTGTAACCAGAAGGTCCTGGGTTCGAACCCCAGTGGATGCGTGCTGATGAAGAGTCCCAAACTAGGCTGACGAAACAGCTGCCCAGTACTCCCAGCAGGTTTTCCAATGGTTCTCTAACCAATGTCAGCTCATGATGTAATCCTGTAACCAATCAAATCCCTACAAACCAACACTTAAATAGAAGATTATTGGCAATCGTAGAGATCTTGCGATAAAGGCCTTCAGAGAATCTAGTGAAATTGAAATGAGCTGTTGAAGCCCAATATGCCAATCAGAACGCAAAGGAGTAGTAGTCAAACAGTATCCTAAGGAATGCATGAGAAAAGCAATCAGACTGTCAGTATACTGCATGTGGCTGAGTCGTTCAAATAGACTGCTCACGTAATAATCTTGTAGCCTTGCCTAATTCACTAACCCTGAAACAAGCAAGAGAAGGTTGTATGTCTAGGAGACTAGCACTGACACCACTCCATAAGCAAAAAAACAACACCCGCATTGCTTAGCAACACTTCTTACATCACGATTTATCATGTTTCATAATATAAAGAAATGTGCGCAACACTACAACAATAATAATAATAACAATAATACGACCATACTGGTATTTCAGCATCTTTGTGTTTGCGAAAGCAAACCATGTATAGTGTTGTGTTATGGCATAGATAGATACACACCAAACACAAACACAAGCAAACACAAAAACGAATAGATGAAAGCACCCACATGTACATAGATAAGCATGTAGACAGACAAAAACTATTGATTTACTGATTATTAGTAGAACAGGTCAAACAAAACATCTCAACATGTTAGTAATAGAATATCTTATTTACAATGTTGTAGATATAAAACTCATTGAAAATTACCAGTTAAATGTAATGCTATTAACTCATGTATATTTATATTATAAGTGGAAATTAGTCATAATAGACTTTTTCTCTCATTATGATACTTAATTGGATGTAATTGGATGATGTATAGCATGATAGTATATACTACTAACTGATCGATATAAGTAGACGGAAAACACTAATGTCAAACGGCATAATCTACCAGCTAGATAGAAACGATTAAAGAATAAAGAAGGTCTATTTCTCCCGATTGAGACCAGACTAAGCAAGGGGGGATTACATTCTTTATACATTCAATTTCTCTATCAAGTATAAGAGATTATCTACCTCTAAGCAACATGTTCACAATTGAGTATTTCACAATTAGCTATTATTATTATTCCTTTACATCCTGAGTGGGACATAAGGCTACAGCAACTGTTCCCTACAGTCTTTTCTAGCTGGCCGCCTATGAGCTTACACCTCCTCCTTATGCGATCACATCCATGTCACTACTGTCATCGCCTATTCGGGTCCTATTCGACAGCCTGGCGAGTGACACCACTTAACGATCTCCTCAGTGTTTGTCTAATCCATCTCCATCTACTTCTGCACGCAGCTTGACCGATAGGTTCTTCGTTGGTTTGCTGCCAGATTTCTTTCTTGTTAACCCTTTCTTTACCCATCTGAACCATCAAAAAAAGCATTGACTTAGCATTAGCCTTAAAAATCAGAGCCTTCTTCCCCAGTGCTAAGTGAAGAGGATTGTCATCCTGATCTCAGATTACTGAATACCTGGTTGTATAAGGGACCTCCTTCAAATTTATCCTGTTGGTAATGACCAGTGCTTACTGTTTTTGTTTTTGTTGTTGTTGATTAGGTATGTTCATCTTGACGTCTTGCCTTCGCTACCTGCCTCTTCTCCAAACTTGTTGGTTTTCCCCCGCAAAGTGTTGCGTTTCTGTGATAGATATAGACCCAGATATTTTAGAGGCTTCTTATCAGTACAACATTCTCCTGTCTTCTCGCTCCCCATATTCCCCAGCATGATCGAGTTCACCATAATCAGGAATATCATCGGCAATAGTAGGCTAACAGCCTTGTCTTACTCCTTCCTCCACTTCGAAAGCCTCAGTGGGCACCATCATTTAACTGCTGAATGAAACTGATCAGGGTTTGGGGAATTCCATGGGGTTGTAGCATTTTTTTTCAAATTACTTACAATTAGTTATATACATATATCACAAAATAATTTTATACGTTCTACAACAACAACAAAGAAAAACAAAAGTACTAAAGTAAATAGTATATTACTCACAGCGGGGATTGTCCTAATAAATAGATCAGCTTTCTACGACAATTCGATCGATGATAAGGTGCAAACCAATTGTGTGCTGGTGTATACTGAATAGGCGTTGTAGACAAGTTATGATTTAATACAAAGGATGATTCAGCACGCTTAAATCGACGAATAATACGTAAATCTAAAAGGCAACACAATTGAGAAAATGTTTAAAATTAATCACGGAGACCGACAGGGAGAGAGATTGAGTGCGATCGAAATAAAATAAAATTAAGACATCTGAGCATAGCCGCGGCACTGGCCATCCAAAAGCTCAAACCCACGCTCCAACCCTTGTCCCTGCCATGCCCATCATAAACAGGTAATTCTTGTAATGGAATAATAAATGATTAACTGTCTTTCTGTCTTTGTTAAATAACATTCGACTGAGTGGTAAAGCATATCTAATCGCTGAGGTCTGTCTGTCTGTTTTCGACATAGAATTTGCACATATGTGCGGCAGTTCAAGTCGCCACACTCCATGTAGCACACAAAGGAAGAGAAGAAAGTAGAAATGCATAATAAAGACAGCAAAAAGGGATGTGAGGGAGGGTAATTGTTACGGTGAACCTTAAAGCCACTCGTTTAAAAGTGTAGGTAGCTAATAATGTTAGAATATTGCTCACTATGCATTCTACTAGCCACAACAAACACCAAAGTGATATTTAAAGCAATCAGTTCCCTTTATGAATTTCGACAACACACTAAGAAGACGTAGTTTATCTGAAACGTGTGATGTATCTGTACAACACATTCCGGACAATGTGATCACACACGCACTTCTCATACACAGTTATTTAGAAAGCAAAAATCATTACAATACAGGTCAGATTGTGTACAGGTGAAGGTCACAAATAATGGGTAGGGAGATGACGCAATTGTTTCGTTAAGTAAGAAACAAAACAAAAACAAAAAAGGGTCGGAAAATACTATGAAGTAAATTGTACCTTGGTTCTAAATTGGATTACCAAGGCAGGTTTAAAGTAATAACAAATAACTTTTGGACACATAAAAGGGGTTTAAGTCTTTTTATGGCCAAGGCTTCAACGAATTTAAGTATGTGACTCAATCTTGTTTCATATATGGCCTTATGGACACGACAATCTCGCTACCTCCAGTCAACCTAAGTCTTGAAATGCTCCTACAGATTTTGTCAAGATTTAACTTATTTCAGTGTGAGTCTCTTCATTAATGGATATCATTCACGAGAACATTTAAAACGACAGAGCAGTGAACAGCTATTTCGCCACAGTTGAGGACTTTATTGTGGTTCTGATTCATGAAATTCACATTTCAAGGAGACCACGTTATTGGTTTCTGTCAAGTCGAAGCATAACACCACTGCCATTCAAAGATACTAGAAAGCAACAATTTTCATAGCCAACACTGATCTTAATAACTCGTTAGGATATTCAGAAATCTGAAGGTTTTCCAATAATGAATTAAAGGATCAACATTCAAAAGTTGGAATTCACAAACTGTCGGTTTACAACCCAATGACTGTTCACCTGTTGAGCTCGAACTCAACTGCGTAAACCTGTGAAGTACCAAATCAGGATGAAATAACAATCCAATCTCCCTTAATTTTCTTGTAAATGCCAAGAATGCCAAACAATTCAGACTTTTTGTTTTAGATAACTACTCTTGCTTACATCACTGTTTCATGCCTAAAAACACTAATACGACAATAAGATGCTAACGGAATATTATTCTCACAGTTTAATACTGAATTAGCAACAGAATACCACATAAATGTGTTTAAACATCCTTTTCCTTGTCGTTTAATGTAAACCGAAATCACACGCTCAGTGAATGGTTAAAGATTATAAAACTGTATAGATATAAATAGCTGTTTGATCACTTGAAAATATACCTTGGCTTTCGTATCTTACCTTCTGTTGTTATATTTGGTGTCGCTGCCTACCGACAAATGGAAAGCCTATACCCTACAGTTTTTGATGGAGACATATGAATCTTCTTGCAGGACTTCGAGGCTGTTGCGAAACTGAATGGCGTTCAAGATCCTTCAGCGATAAGGCTGCTGGTAGGTCGGGAGAAGGTAGCATATGATAGTGTGAGGCGAAACACCGGGGAATACGAGCCAGGGTCATGTAAAATGCTTCCAAAGTGAGAAGGACCATATACGGTCACCATGAGATGGGGTGACATATATATACGATCAGAAATGCGAACAAAGAGAAGCGGCGCTAAACGTCAGCGCGCTCTGGAACTTTATACAGCAAGATGAGCAAACAAAGCCGCCAGCACCAAGAAGACCGAACCCACTACAGTAGAAAGCATTTGACGGGGGACTAGTGGAGTGGTGTGATACAGACAATGTGTGCCAACGGAATATTATTCTCACATATTCCCACATTTCAATACTGCATTAGCAACAGAATATATATATATATATATATATATATATATGCGGTTTGATCAACTGAAAATATACCTTGGCTTCCGTGTTTTGCGTAGAGTTGCAATTTGGTCAGAACATGATTTGCCTTTCCTGAATCCAGCTTGTTCTGGTCGGAGTTCTGTATCCAGAGCGTCCTTCATCCTGGAGAGAATAAAGGACGCACTGGATACAGAACTCCGACCAGAACAAGCTGGATTCAGGAAAGGCAAATCATGTTCTGACCAAATTGCAACTCTACGCATCATCATCACAGAACAAAGCATGGAATGGCAATCAAACCCCTACCTCAACTTCATACACTTTGAGAAGCCCTTCGACATCGTTGACCGCGAAGTAATTTGGAAACTACTCAAGTACTACGGCGTACCCCAAATATTCATCAACCTCATTCAACAGCTGTATGACAACGGCACATGTCAAGTGATCCACAACGGAAAACTCAGCGAAGAGTTTGGAGTAAACACAGGAGTCAGACAAGGGTGCTTATTATCACCAATGATATTCCTAATTGTGGTGGACTGGATTATGTGTCAGACAGTGGGAAACGAGAAGACAGGGATATCCTGGACCGGCTTGAAGAACCTAGAAGACCTGGATTTCGCGCGTGGATGATTTATGTTTGATGTCACACAAAATCGAAGACTCACTTACAAGCGAAAGTCGGCAAACTGGTCGAATAATCAGCAAAGACACGACTCAAGGTGAACATCGACAAGACGGAGGTTATGAAAATAACCAACCAACAACAACAACAGCAGCAGAAACATCCAGTGCCAATCACCATCAAAGGGGGTGGGGATTTACAAGAGGTTACTTCATTCACTTATCTAGGCAGCATTGTCTCAACTACAGGAGGAACGGACGAGGAGGATGTCAAATCGAGAATCGGGAAGGCGAGAAACACATTCATCAACCTGAAACCAATCTGGAAATCTTCCTCACTCAGCCAGTATCAACAACAAAATTCGGATTTTCAATACAAACGTCAAGTCAGTCAGTTCTTCTATACGGATGGATCGGAAACTTAGTGGGTCACAAAGAATATTTCCAACAGCCTGTTGCACACCTTTATCAACAACTGTCTTCGCCGCTCTATACTGAAGATCAGATGGCCGGAAAGAATCACAAACAAGAAACTATGGGAAGAAACAAAACAAGAACCAATCGCTCAACAAATATTCAGGAGAAGGTGTAGATGGATTGGACACTCACTCGCTGAGGAGGCCGCTGGGTGACATCGCGCGTCAGGCCAGTGCTCGAGTGAAACCCGAAAGGGAAGCGGTGAGTGGGACTTGCAAGGGTGACATGGAGGAGATCGCGTGGAGAGGAGTTGAAACAGTATGGATTAACATGGATGCAGGTGAAAAGTACAGCAGAAGACAGAAGCAAGTGGAGACGGGCACTTGAAGCCCTATGTTCCACTAGGAACCCAAGGGAACAATAATAATAATAAAACGTGTTTTGCCTTCTGCAGTTACAAGATAATAAACAAATTGCAATACACCAAATTAACACTAAAACACAGTGTAAACCCACCTCGATTTTCATACTGTTTCCGTTGTATTTGATACATATGACTTAATAAATCTGATAATTGAGATAATTCACCATTTTGAGATATTGAATCCAATAAGGAAAATAATCCAGGAAACATAAAATTACACATTTCATTATTATTATTACTGTTGTTGTTGTTCACAGTAGCATTTTTAGTTGAGTATATATTAGGATTCTAAAAGAAGAAATATCACCACACCGCACCGCACCCCACCCCAGGCAAAGAAACAAAAAGGTATTAATTACTGTGTGCATAATAATAGGAATCATTCAGTATAGTCATAAAGTATGGCAATATTATCAAGAGGTTTAAATACTTTTCATATAAACTTTAAGGGAAAGGCGATAAGAGGCGTAGTGAATTCTTTATGTTAGTTAGTTATCTAGTGAATCAGAATGCAACAATGGGGGTTACTAATAACCAATAGTGAGCTTCGGGGGTTGATGAAAAATAGAACGCCTATCAAACATACATACACACACACACGAACACACGTGATCTAGAATTCAATTCCCGGCGGACGCACTCCTAAATCTTGCTTACTAGCCAGTGGTAAGCTGGGTAAACACAGGAAAGTTGGGTTGTGTTTGTATGGCTAGCAACCGTATCATCCTGTACAAACAACACAAGAGCTGCTGAAGCTTAAAAAATTAAAGCATGAACTCCGATGTAAATTTGTTTTAAATAGAAGGTAATTGGTGAGTACCAGTGAACTCTGACTAACTAATTAGCCAATAATTAGTCCCTTAATTCCATATTTCTTTATTATTATTTTATGCCTTCACGTTCCCAGTGGAACATAGGGCTTCATGCTAGTGGCTTGAAGTTTCTGTAGCAGTGTTTATTATTACAGGATGGGGTTGCTAGCCTCATGCCCAACCTTTCCTCTTCACCAGCATTATTTCTGGCTTAGCGAGGTAAAGGGGTGTGCCGGCTGGGGATCAAACCCCGGACCATGTCCATGGTCGGCGAGCGTCCTAACCGCTATGCCACCGATGCACTTTAATTCCATATAAGAATAGTTTATTTGACATGAGACACAGTAATACAATCTAGTATTGTTGATATTAAATGGTTAGAGGCAATCGGCAGGAAGCCTGTGACCTGGGTTTCGTGCTAGCCGGCACTCACCAGTCAGCAAGGCGTATCTGTAACCATCTAATATCAACAACTGAAAGTGCTCCATGATGGCGAGCCATCTGTAGAATGGTGGCCATATTGCAAACATGACTGATAGAATTCAGTCTGCATTAAACAGAGGACTAGACACACTAGACTAATTACTAACCAGTATCTAATCAAAACAATACAGTAATACTAACTGGATGACATTTCAAGCACATTTTAATGCCTATAATCTCATATCAATAAATGTATAAGATTTCCAAACTCACCTTTGATAGTCTGAATCCCTCCGGTGTTTTTTACAAAAGCTATTTACTGCAATTTTCCATATATCCGAGATAGGTGTTGCATCATTTCGATTACGAAATGAAATAAAGGTTAGATGATTAACCTAACTAAATTACTTTGTAACAATTTTACCCTATCCCATCGTATTGTGTGATAACTACATGCAAGTAGCGGAACTTTTTCCTAGATTATCTAACTTCTCACGGTCAGTCTTCCCAGATCTAGCTAAATTCCTAAGCTACGATAAACCTACCTAATTGATAGTTCATCTAAGAAAGATTAGAATGTCATATGTACAGATTAAGGAATAACACTAATTATTCGACACTTCACCATATATATTGTCGGCTGGTATAGATCTCTATCTCTCGCTCTCTCTGTGTCGATGAGTTTGTGAAGGTGAGTTGATTAAGACGGCTGGGATATCTGCTACGCATACTTAGCCATCGCCTACCTCGACGAGTAGTATTAGCTAACATAGGATTACGTTTGAAAAAAAAAAAGCTAGAGTGATGGTCAAAACAGTTAGTTTGAGCCAACCACATAGGGGTAAGTGGATACCGTTCGTGGACACTGACTCAATATAATTCACAATGGCTTATATGCATTCACTCTTGGAGATCTGCCATACATATATATATTCAAAATCCCGATTGCTTTTCTACGTCACTATTCTTTCTCCCTCACATTTCTGCTTATTGTTAGTTCTCCTGGATCTATTTTTCCTCTCTTTATTGTCTTCCTTTATGTAGTACATGGAGTTTGGAAACTCGAACTGCTGCATTTTTGTGCAAAGTTCTATACTGAAGTCAGTCAGCCAGACAATCATAACATTGGAAAGAAAGTTATGCGTCTACAGATTACTGTTAATAATAATAATAATAATAATTCAAATGAACTGTCGTCAAGATTTGACCGAATAGTTCTAAAATATTTGGGCGCCGAGTGAGAAGTAGACATTTGTAAAACATTTTTTATTTGTAAAATCTCAGCGAGATTGAAATGAGTAATTCCAACGTTTCGTTCGGCAATCTGGTCCGAACTTCTTCAGGGAAATTAATCGAAATTAACATAACAGAGGTTTAAATATAAAAGGAACATCACTTGTTTTTAAAAACTTTGTCCAATCATGAGTCATTCAACAAGTATAATAAACAAAATTTTATGAGCTGTGATCAAAATTTGACCTCGCACCTCTTACAAATATTGGTCTACCTTTGTTAAACACTTTAAACAGAGTGTGTATGTGTGTGGGGGTAAACAGTTGTAAAACATTTCTTAACGTCTCCATAAGAAGATATGGACAGTCGAGAATTTTGACCAAGAATTATTAATTAGTGATACATATCCATTTTTTATTTATTAATCAGGATTTCCTATGCATCAGCTAACATCACACCTTCATGTCTCTTCAAACTGTTAGTATCTAGAACTTTATGATTAGACGTATTTTCAAAATTATGGTGTTTAGGATTGGAGTTTAGTAGAAGCACCCTGTCGGACTTATTTCTTTGTCTTCTTTCTGAAGATTGAGCTGCTTTATTCGACCTACTGGAGTTGTCAGGTGACTCGACAGCTACGGATTTAGGATATGCATATGTTAGCTGATGCATAGGAAATCCTGATTAATAAATAAAAAATGGATATGTATCACTAATTATTAATACTTGGTCAAAATTCTCGACTGTCCATATCTTCTTATGGAGACGTTAAGAAATTTTTTACAACTGTTTACCCACACACGCATGCACACTCTGTTTAAAGTGTTTAACAAAGGTAGACCAATATTTGTAAGAGGTCCGAGGTCAAATTTTGATCACAGCTCATAAAATTTTGTTTATTATACTTGTTGAATGACTCATGATTGGACAAAGTTTTTAAAAACAAGTGATGTTCCTTTTATATTTAAACCTCTGTTATGTTAATTTCGATTAATTTCCCTGAAGAAGTTCGGACCAGATTGCCGAACGAAACGTTGGAATTACTCATTTCAATCTCGCTGAGATTTTACAAATATAATTCTTTACAAATAATAATAATATTATTATTATTACCAATAGTATTTACATACTGTAAATCAGAGTTGTGACTATACATATATGACACAATGCATAAAATCATTAGTAATATTTTCAAATATCTCTTCACAATAACCACAATGTTATAAATCACTTTACAATAAGCCAAACCAAACAGTCAAGCATACTTCATGTAAGAAGTTAATTTCGTATACTTTGTAGAGTGATAGATTATATGCTACCACTGAGTTAAGCAGATTTTTAAAAAAATTTTAAAAAATGCGACATAATTTGAATTGAAAAGTTGGTAAAAGAGAAATTTACACCTCGCACTTAGCTAAGAAAATGCAGATGGAGTAGGCATACACTGAGGAGACCATTGGATGACATCGCGCGCTAGGCCAGCACTCGAGTGGAAGCCAAATGGGCCGTCGGTGCGTGGGTGACACGCAGAAGATCGTGTGAGTCAGAAGAGATCAGAACCCTATGTTCCCCTCGGAACCCAAGGGAACAATAATAGTAATAATAATTATAACGTAGCTAAGGTGTTATTGCATACAATAGAAAACTACTCATGAACAAAACAAACCGAATGAAATGCAAAACCACTTAAAATGCCTGAAAATAAATTAATATTTATCAAACTGCCTAAATAATTCCTGAACTATACTGTGACAAAATTATTCAAAAAAAAACAAAACAAATGAACCAACAGTCAATGAGAAGAATTTCATAGGCATATTTTCCAAATTTTGAGTTTTCTAAAGAGATTTCAATTAATTTCAACGTGGATTGCATCAAAAACCATTATATTGCAAATCGGACGAATCTAAAATTCACGGATCACTTAACCCCCCCCCCCCAATGTAGTGGTGGAGTCAGTGGTCAACAACATAACGCAAAGGCTGCGGGTTCCATCCCTGGTAGAGTCATGCATATACACACGGAAACACTTGTCAGGTGGTCGCCTGGTTTTCAATTTCCTTTTGAACGAACGGTTCATGATTCGTCTGTTAACCAACTGCATATCCATAGACAGAAAAGGGAAATAAAACTCGCAGTTGAGCAAAGAAGGTCTTTTCAGAGAATTCATTTTCTCCTTTAGCTGTACAATCGCATTTACATATAATCTCCTTTTCATGAAAAAGGTTAATAGTCAGTTGTCAAAAACATACTTGTTAATATTAGTCAGTGCAGTTGAATAAGTGTCTTGGAGTTACGCAATAAGACAAATAATTCAGTGAGTGAGTTGTGGTCAGAATGCACATAGAAACGAAAAAGAAAATATGGAATTATGTAAGAATACTACCCCGCATAGCTGCAGAAAGGTAGTAATGGCCCTATAAGGAGTATGATAATCAAACACCATGTCAACACTGGTCATTTCTCATATCTCAACAAATGCCTCCTTCAAAGTAATCTACAAAGTGACGAATAACCTACCAAAAGACGATACACTTTCATCTCCCATACATTGCTGACGTTTACAAAAGAAAATTATGTGACCACTTCTACTATCATGATAACAACAGTCTTGGTGATTTCTGCTTACTTGATTTTTGTTTTCTAGCTTGTATTAGTGATTGTCTAATATTAATCACTATAACTGCGAAGAAATCAACACTTTTGTTACTATCCTACTGCATGAAAAAACACAGATTGATTGTCTATAATAATTGCGGCTGTAGAGTTAAAGAGGAAAATAAAATTCACCACGATAGGGAGCCTCTTTCGCTGGACGAC